CTCCTAACCAGAAAGGCGCCGGGACCCGCCTCGGGGAACCCGGCGCCTGCGCAGAGTCCATTTCCCCCCCCCACCTCTTCAGCTCATGTACGAGCCGCGTCCCCTCTCCCGCGTGAGCGCGCGCGTTCTCTGCGTGTGGGCGGGGCCAGATCATGAATGATTCATAAGGCGGGGTCTCGCCATCAAGCCTTAACCTGCCCAGGCCTGGAATGTGTATTCCCATTCAGCAACACAAATTCAGCAAATATTTATTAAACGCCGACTGTGTGCCAGATCATGTTTTACGCATTGGCACTAAACAAGATAGACAGAAATCCCTGCCCTCGTGGAACTACCTTCTAGTGAAGGAAGATAACAAAATCTTTGGAAGTACAGTCCAAGGTTTGATAAATGTTATGGAGAAAAATTAAGCATGAGCTGGAATGCCAAACAGTAGTCAGGGTAGGCTTTGCAGAAAAGGAGGACATTTGAACACAGACCTGAAGGATTCACAAAATGGACACAAGAGTTAGGTATATTGGAATAAATACTGGCTGAGCAGGAAGGTAAAGGAGTTTGGGGACTTGTCTGTCTTCATTTATTCAACAAACATTTACTGAGCACCTGTGGTGTGCCAGGCATTGCGCTGGCCATAGAGTGCTGAGCATGACAAGCATGATTAGTTGTCAAGCGGCTCACATGGTGGTGGGGGGGGGCAACAATAAGTAAGCAAATTAATACAGATAAATGACATTGCCACATTCATAGGCTTCTCAAATTTAAATATCCAAAGCTAAGCTTCCGATCTTCCCAAACCTGATCATCCCACAGTCATCCCCATTTCAATTAATGGCGCCTCCATCCTTCCAGCTGTGTGGGCAATAAGCCTTGCAATCAATCCTTGCCTCCTCTTTGTCTTTGCACCCCACATCCAGGTTCAGAAATTCTGTCAGTTCCATCTCAAAAGTATATACAGGGGGTGCAGTCAGTTAGGCAACCAACTCTTGGTTTCCACTCAGGTCGCTTGGGTTGTGATCTCAGAGTTGTGAGATCAAGCCCCACGTGGGACTCCACATTCGATGACGTGGAGTCTGCTTAAGACCCTCTCCCTCTCCCTCTGCCCCTCCCCACCAGACTTGCTTTCTTTCTGTCAAATAAATAAATAAATCTTAAGAAAAAAATAAAAAGTATATACAGAATCCACCCATTTCCTCCTGCCTCCATGGCCCCACCCTAGTCCTATCCACCCTTGCCCTGTCTTCACGTGGACGGCTGCAGCAGGCTCCTTACCATCTCCCTGCTCCCCTTCCCATCCCTCCACCCCACTCTCTTTCCCACAAGAAGCCCGAGGGAGCCTGTGAATACCTGAGTCAAATCTCTCACCTAAGTCTCTCACTCCTCTGCTCAGAACCCCTCCTTGGTGCAATACTGAGTATGAGTCAAAGTCAAAGAAAGGAGGAAAAGCTAAAGAAGGAGTCTTCTCTGCCCTGGCCCAGCCCAGCCCCGCTTTTGAAACAAGACACTCCTGGGGGTGCCTGGGTGGCTCAGTCGTTAAGCATCCGCCTTTAGCTCAGGTCATGATCCCAGGGGCCTGAGATCAAGCCCTGCATCAGGCTCCCTGCTCAGCGGGAAGCCTGCTTCTCCCTCTCACATTCCCCCTGCTTGTGTTCCCTCTCGCTGTCTCTCTGTCAAATAAATAAAATCTTTAAAAATAAAAACAAAACAAGACACTGCTGGAGCTTCAGCCAGACCCCCAAGGTCTTCCCCATCCTGTCCCCATTTCCCCTCCCACTTCACCTCCCTCTCCCCCTCTGTCTCTGAGCTCCTGCCACACAGCTGACTTCCTCCTCACTGTTCTTCAAACACACCAGGCACCTTCCAACCTCAGGGCCTTTGCACTGGGTGATACCTTGTTACCGCTGCCTGGAACACTTACCCCACATACTGGATCCCCAAAGCTTCAACAGCCTCCTCCACTGCAGGTCTGCAAAAATATCCCCTCTTCAGTGAGACCTTCCCTGACCACCTTGGTTAAAATAGCATCCTACACCTTCCCTCCTATGTTTTATTTTTTCCAGAGTACTGATCACCATTTAGCATACTACATGATTGGCTTGTAGTTCATCTGTCTCTTTCCCAAGAATGTCAGGCCGTGAGCGTGGGGATCTTTGGTCACCGCCGTTTCCCTAGTCTCTGAAGCAGTGTCTGGCACAAGATAGCCACTTAATATATCTTAGGTGAATGAATAGATGGACTTAAAACCATGATGAGGAGTTTGAATTTTATTGGAAATGCAATGGGAAGTTCAGGGAGGACCCTAAGCAGGAGGAGGGCTGGGATTGCTGTTTACAGGATCCAGCAGCCACAGGAGGGGAACAGACTGTAGGTGGAGTGAACGCATGGAGACCAGCCAGGGGGCTGCCACAATGGTCCAGGTGAGCATGGTCAGGACCAGGGTCTGGAGGAGGAGAGAGCCGTGGAGGACAGGCAGTGGAAGCATTTGGAAAAATGGAGCTGACAGGACTGACTGTCGTGAATTGGATGGGGGGAGGGGGTGGCCATGAGAATGAAGGAAGAATCCAGACTTAAGACGGCTCCCAAGGGTTGGACCTGAGCGACCCAGGAGTGCGAACTTGATTGGAGTCAGGAAAGGGAAGAAGGTAAGGGTTGAAGGTAGACTAGAGCAGGACCTGGCCCAGTGTGAATGGAGAGGATTGTGTCACAGTCAACCTTCAGAGCTGGGGATGAGAAGACATGGCTCCTCCAGGTATGGGAGCTCATGGATTTCTCCCCACCTCTTTCGAAAAAGCACTGGAAGGGATCCGATGGCACACAAAGGAAAGGGACAAGGCCTGGGCACCTCCCATTTTCCCAGGGGATGCCGGGAACTGGCCAAAGATCCAAGAGCGCTGGCTGTGACCTGGAGAACCAAACCAGGACTTTTGTGCTGGTCCTAGTTGGCAGGGAGAGCCACTGGGGCTATGGGCCATCAGCCCCACCCTGCCTGCTCCCAATGGACACTGAAAAGCCTTCTAGAGGAAGGGCTCAGATGAAGTGGATGGCCCCGGTCAGTGAGGTTTAAAGGCTCCCTTTATTTATAAATGTTACGTGTGACATTTTTTTTTTAAGTAAGCTCTATGTCCAATGCAGGACTTGAACTCATGACCCCAAGATCAAGATGCTCTACCAGCTGAGCCAGCCAGGCGCCCCTGTTGTATTCCATTGCTAATTCTAGTTAGTGAAACGAACCAAACAGGGCTATGTCCTCCTAGGGTGGGAACGTGAACAGATACCGCGGTGTCGAGAGGGGACTATGGAAGCAACTGAAATAAGCCCGGGAGAGCAAGACCGGCAGCAAACGTATCGTCTCTTACTACAGGCCAGACTACGTTCAACTCTTCAAATGCATGAACTCACAGCAACCATTTAAGTGGGTGCTCTCCCCAGCTGGGAAACTGAGGCACAGGGAGGTCAACCAATGTGCCTAAAGGTCGCTAGGCTGGGGTTTGAAAGCAGGCAGGCTTTCTCTATAGCCAGGTCTCTTAGCTGCTTGAAGGATCCTCCCAGAGCAAAAGCAGTAGGCTAAGAAGGAAAAGCTGTGGTTTTCCAAAGAGGTCAAGGTCATTTCCTCTTCCCTGCAGAGCAGCCAGTCAGTTGTGCGGGTTGTATCTACATGAAGGCACCTGCCAACCGGGGTGAGTGGGAGTCCTCACACAGAGGGGGTGCCTTTTGACTTACATGATCTAATAGCGTCCCAGTATTCTCTCCTACGCCCCTCTCCCACCCCCTAGGGCTGGCTCCCAAGTTTCGAGCCACAGAGGCACCTTTTGTCCCCAGGACTTGGGCACACCCTGCTTCCTGGCTCCTGCTCAGGTCTGGAACCCAGGGCAAAGGGTGTCCCGCCCTGCCCTGGCTCCCAGTCAGTGTCCTCAAAAGAATGGTGGGTGTGAATGCAAGCAGACAAGGGAGGACCGGGAAGCGGGGGACAGCCCAGGCACCGCCACTGCCCTCTCCGGAGGCCAAGCTCAGGCGTAATGGCTCACGAGAATGAAACACTTCCTCAGTGACAGCTGCGGGGCTACGCTAAGGGCTGGACATCTACGATGTCCTCTCTTTTCCTCCACTTTCCCCCAAAGGCGGTCGCTGTTGTCGCTATCCCTTCTTCCTGCACACACCGGGCTCAGAGGGGAAGACACTTGCCCAAGGTCACTCTGCCAGGCTCCAGAGTCCTTCCTGTGTAAGACTGGGGTAACCAACCCAGCTACAGAGCAAGTAGCACTGGCTAGGTGCAGGCTGAGACTTGTGGATGGGGGGGAGGGAATGGCCTAGCTAAAAATCCCAATTTTCCTGTAGTCTCTCCAAGCAGAATGGTGAGGACTAGTTCACAACCTTGGGGACAAACAATTCTGAGTCTGAAATTAACGACCCCCGTTTTCTAAGAGCCAGGAACAGGTTAGGCCCTGATGAGACCTTTACTGGCAAGAGCTCTTGGAATCCTCCACAAATGACAAGGGTGGGTCATTGTCCCCTTTCCACCGATGAGGAAACTGAGGAACAGAGGCAGAGTCACCAAGCCAAGGACACACAGCGATGGGCTGAGCAGGAGCCAGGATAGGAGGCGGACTGAATCCTCTCATTCACTCCTCCAGCCTCTGTGGGGCCAAAAGGCAAAGGTGGTGCCTCCCCTCACCAGGAACCCACTCCTGTTCACCTAGGTGTTCAAGAAGGCAGAAGAGCTCCGGCCACACCCAGCTGCAGGGCAGGACTCCTACATCTGATTCATTCACATCCCCCTCCTTGCTGACTCATGGCTGCCGGCTCCCTACTGGTGACCTGGCAGGTCCCGAAGGTGGGGGTGGAAGGTTGGTTGCTGGGGCGGGACAGGGGAGGAAGGAGGAGGAGGGAGGCCCTAGGCAGCAGGGAGGTGGCTCCCGCACAGAGTGGGCAGAGGCCTGCTCCCAGGCTCCCCCTGGTGGGCGAGGGGCAGAGGCAGGAAGCCAATGAGCGGGAGACAACAGGAGTTAAGCCAACAACTCTTTATTCAACGCCTGCCGAATTACTGGGAGGAGGCCATGATGCTGGACACACCTGTTGAGAACGGAAGACGGGAGCAGGTCAACAGGGCAAGAATGGGAGACCAACCTCCAGCCACCAGCTATGGCACCCACAATTCTTTAGGGGGCGCAGATCACAAACCCCTCCTGGGCCCTGGTCACCTTCACAAAGACAGTTTGGTGTTTTTTTGTTTTTTGTTTTTTTTAAGTAATCTCTGTGCCCAACATGGGGCTTGAATTCACGACCCCAAGAATAAGTCGCACTCTCTACGGACTGAGCCAGCCAGGCGCCCCACAAAGGCAGTAGGGGGCGGTAGTTAAGAATCTCCACCCCGGGGCGCCTGGGTGGCTCAGTTGGTTGAGCGACTGCCTTCGGCTCAGGTCATGATCCTGGAGTCCCTGGATCAAGTCCCGCATCGGGCTCCCTGCTCAGCGGGAAGTCTGCTTCTCCCTCTCACCCTCCTCCCTCTCGTCCTCTCTGTCTCTTATTCTCTCTCAAATAAATAAATAAAATCTAAAAAAAAAAAAGAATCTCCACCCCCGAGCAAGGAGGCCTGCATCCGGTACCAGGTGGGTGACCTCAGGCAAGTTCGTGAACAGCAGCTTCCCCACCTGCACGAAGCATTGACCTGACATGCTCAGAACAATGTTCGGCACCAAGAGCTCCTGGTTCTTCTCACTGCCGCCACAGCAACATTTTCTGTGTGTTGTCTGCAAGACATGCTGAGCGCCAGCCTTGCACCCCCTCGCCGGAGAGCCCTTTCCTGCAGCGACTTCTCACCCAGAACCCGGAAAACAGGGGGCACCTCTCACTTAGAGTGAGGGTCCACAGGCCCCACGCGCCGAGATGAGGGCCCACTGAGTCTTGATCCTCAGTTCAGCACCAAATGAGCTAGTCTGTAGTGAGAAACCACGCTGTACCAAGACACACCTTTAAAACCCCAGAATCAGGGGCACCTGGGTGGCTCAGTCGTTAAGTGTCTGCCTTCGGCTCAGGTCATGATCCCAGGGTCCTGGGATCGAGCTCCACATTGGGCTCCCTGCTCGGCGGGAAGCCTGCTTCTCCCTCTCCCACTCCCCCTGCTTGTGTTCCCTCTCTCGCTGTCTCTCTCTCTGTCAAATAAATAAAATCTTTTTAAAAAAATAAAAAAAAATAAAACCCCAGAATCAGACTCAAGGGATTGGGGGGGGGGAGACCCAGGGCGCAAGGGAGCAGCCGACCCCTGGGTTCTGACTCCCTCTCCGACACGCGCGCGGTGTGGTGCGGGCCTGACCACACTGCTGTTCTGCTCCCTTCACCGAGGGGCCGGGGGGCTGCGGTCGGTTAGCGGGCGGACAACGGTGCCAAGCGCGGCCACGCGGCTCTTTGCTCCGCTCCGTGCTCTACACGGCCGTCTCACTCTGCCCTCGCTCCTCCATGTACGTATTAGGATACTGTCCACTTACAGTAACGGCCCCTACCGTACAGGGCTCACGTGAGGACCAAACCACCTGCTAAGCGTCAGGAACTACACAGTAATTGTCATAATGAGTGCTGCTGGGATCCCCACTTTTTGGATGAGAAAACTGAGGCAGAGAGGTAAAAATCACTTGTCCCGAGTGGCAGAGCTAAGAAACCGAGACCCGGGATCCCCGTCCCACTACCCGAGTCCAGAACCCGCACTTTCTGGCGTTCCTGTGTTTCTTCGGATGCCAGGGCCGAGGCGCCATCTCCAAGGACAGACTGCCAACAGGCCGGAGCCCCCGGGAATCCCAGGGAGGGACCCCCCCCCCATTCCTCCCTGAGCAGGCAGCCCCATGAGAGAAGTCAGTGGACTCCAACAGATGCAAAGATCCTGGCCCTGAACCAGACCACAGCTACCCAAGTCCTTTGGGGCCCCAGCCCCGGTCTGTCGAGGGGCAGCTCCTTAGACCCATAGTTTGCAGCCTCGGGCCAGCACTCACTGTCGAAGTCGATCTTCTCCACGATGTTCTTGGGCTTGATGCTCTCCTCCTGGCTACAGATGAAGATCTGGCCCGACTCATCAGCGCTCCAGCCGTACTTGCTCATCCACACCTTTAGCTGGCTGTCTGCAGGTGACACGGGCCATGCAGGGGCTCAGTCATCTGCTCCCCCAGGACCACAGCTAAAGGCCGGGGCGCCCTCCCGGCCCAACTGCCTCAGTGGCCACCATATCTCCTGCAGCCGCACTTGCTTGCGTTTCTACGGTTCATTCTCCAAACGGCAGCCAGAGGGAGCCTGTTGGCTTTCCCACCCTTACATCACAGGGCCTCTGTCTCCCCTTTCATTTCTACCCCTCTTTTCTCTCCCAGAGCAAATCTCAGTTTCCAACAGTGGTGTGCTTCCTTCCCTGCTTTTCCGCAGAACTTTTAAATGATTTTAAAATTATGTCCTATCACGAACCATAAGCCCAGAGCCTCAGCTGGGAATTTCTTTGCAGGCTGTTTTGGCTCTTAAAAAACCTGCCAGGGAGGACGTACGGCCAGAAAATGTCCTGCTAATTGAAGTAATTCTTTTGTGGGACTATTAGCAATTTGATAAATTCATCCCTTCTCCTTAGATTCAACTCTAAGAGTTGTTTGATCCCTTTTTGACTTAATCTCACTTTTAAATATACAAAACATCTACCTGATGTAAAGCACTTAGTGTAGCCCGACAGTGTCCAGTAAGTTAGCTTCTGCTAACACACACACAACCAGATCAAAAGGCAAAACTACCCAAATAAGGTACTCAGACAAGTCTCACCCCCAACCCACCGCTCTCCCTCCCTGTGCTCACCCCCCACCTCCCAAGGAGTAACCATTTCCTTAGCTTTATTTTTCTTCCTGTTTCTTTTTGCAAAAAGGAGCCAATACACAAACATTTTTCTTTTCTTTCTTTCTGGAAAAATTTTTTATTTTTATTTATTTATTTATTTTTATTCATTTGACAGAGAGAGACACAGCAAGAGAGGGAACACAAACAGGGGGAGTGGGAGAGGGAGAAGCAGGCTTCCCGCGGAGCAGGGAGCCCGATGTGGGGCTTGATCCCAGGACCCTGGGATCATGACCTGAGCCGAAGGCAGACGCTTAATGACTGAGCCACCCAGGTGCCCCTTATTTATTTATTTTTAAGCATGGAGTCCAACGCAGGGCCTGAACTCATGACCCTGATATCAAGAACTAAGCTGAGATCAAGAGTGGAATGCTTAGGGCGCCTGGGTGGCTCAGTCGGTTAAGCATCTGCCTTCGGCTCAGGTCATGATCCCAGGGTCCTGGGATCGAGTCCCTCATTTGGCTCCCTGCTCTGCAGGGAGCCTCCTTCTCCCTCTCCTCCCTGCTCATGTTCTCATTATATCTCTGTCTCTCTCTCAAATAAATAATAAGTAAAATCTAAAAAGGAAAAAAAAAAAAGTCAGATACTTAATTGACTGAGCCACCCAGGTGCCCCTGGAAGAATCTTTTAAAAAACACAAATCTGCTCATGTCCCTCCCTGCTCAGAACCCCTGTGGCTCCAGCTCACTCAGGACAAAGGACTATGTCCTCAGGAAGCCCCATGGTATCTGAAGATGTCCCTCCCACCACCACTTCTCTGCCCCTCGGCTCTGCCCCTCGCTCACTGTGCTCCCACCAGGTACCTTGGCTGCTCTGTGAACAAGACAGGCGCACCCCTGCCTCAACACCCTCTGGTTTCCTTGGCCTTCGGTGCCTGTCTCCACTGAGGCACTATTCACCTCAGCCCGGTGAGCTGTCTTGTGTGAGTTCACGCTAGACCTGTACTTCTCATTTTGTTATCTACGTTTTGCTACTGCCATGAGAAGAAATCTGAGCCGCTCTGTTTCCTTCACTGCTGAGTCCTCCAGGCCTAGAATAGCCTGGTACAGAGAAAGCATTCAAATAACTTACGCAGAACACAATAAACGAATACCATAGCAACTCCCCCAAGGAGGGGTATGTTTTATTTATGTTCCTTACTCCCTCAATAACGAGCAGGGCTGGACCTTCAACAACGACTTGCTGAAGCAGGGATGGGTCCATCTGAGGAGCTGGCCGAGGCCCACGGCCCCTGACCACCCCAACCTCCTTGATTGGCACCAGGAACCCAGAGAGACCTTACCCGTCAGATCCCCGAGCATCTCAGCCAGCAGCCAGCGATCAATGTGCTGATAGGTGATGCCCACAACGTGGCAGATAACTGCAGAGATGAGGAACAAAGATGGTAAAGGGCCACCCTCGGGACCTGGCTGCCACTCCCTACCCCTTCCCCCTGGGAAACCCAGGTACCGAGACGGACTTACATTTTCGGACAGAGTCTTCAAAGCCGGTTATACCTTCCAGGAGGTCCATGTTTTCATCCAGGGCTTGCTGTGAGGGCAATGATAATGTTCACAATAATGTAACTTCAAGAATATTATTGTTAATGAAATTAGCAACAGAAGCTACGACTTGGGCATCCACCTCACATGCCAACTTTCTTCTCTGTGTGACCCTGTAACGTAAGTCACCATTTTCTGCCCATTTTTGGAGATGAAAAAAGCAAGGCTCAGAGCAGCTAAGTGACTTGCCCCAAATCGCAGAGCTGGGGGTTGAACCAGGCAGGCAGAAACCACAGACCCAAAGAGGGAACAGAGACAGATTAGCTAACTGCACTCACCCATTGGAGAAAAGGCCAAGTGTCCCATAAGACGTCCTCCCCCTCAGCCCTTCGCTCCAGCCGCAGGGGCCTCCTTGCTGCTCCTCAGACACACCGAGCACCCGCCCACCTTAAGGTCTTTGAGCTGGCTGGTGCTGGGTCTCAAACTCTCCTTCCCCATGGCTGGCACCCCTACGCCCTTCAGGCTTTTGTCCAAATATCACCTTCCCAGCAAGGGCTCCTTCCAACATTAGTGCAGGAAATGAGGAACCCCCAAGGACAATGCAGAGGATGTACAGGAGAGTAACTGTCCTGGGAGCCAAACGATAAAAGGATGTGAGGGAGCAGTGTGCAGCCCCCATCAGAGGTGGGTTTCATCGTGCGTGCGTGCATACGGGCACACGTATACATGTGGGAGACCAGGGCGGTAGAAGGCTGGTCACAAAAGCCTGAATGGAACGAACACAGCAGCTTCAAGCGAGCAGGGAGAGGAGGAGAAACTGAGCACAGGCAACCCTGCCCACAAGCGGGGTAACCAAGGGCCCTGCTCCACCTGACCCCGAGGGTTTCCCGGGGATGCGAGACTTTCCTCTCCATGGGGAACAGAGAAAGAGGGCAGGAGGCAGACGTGGTGGGGCACGTGGAAGTTCGGGGAGAGTTCTCTCCTGCAGGCGAGAACGAACTACAGGGTGGACGTGGTCTCCTCTGACAGAAACAACCAGGGAAGGCAGGCCCTGCTGCTACAAGAGGAGGGAGGAACGCCGAGGGGGCGAAGGGCAAGGGGAACAGCGTGCCAGCCGGGGGGTGGCCTGAGATGGGAGGAGGGATGACACCCCGACTGAAACAGAGAAGCGTTCAGTCGGCCGACAGCAGATGCCGAGGCTGAGGGCAGTCACGCGTGGGAGTTCTGCTTTGGCTACTTCAGTCTTCCCACAAAACAAGGCGGAGGAGCGTGTGTTGAGAAGAGGAGGGAAGGAGAGGGGGCGAGAAGGCGTGAAGAGCTGGGAGTGGGTGGTGAGCCCCTGGGCCAGGAGGGGATGCACACTGCGGGGCTGATGGGCCTCCCTCCGGCCACTCGCAATGTCCGGTGCAGACTGCCGCTGACAGCAAAAGCATAACGGAGGGCCCGGGCTACTGGTCAGGCCTAAGCACACCAGGCTGGAGCCCTCCCAGGGGTGAGCCGAGAAGCTGGGAGGAAGTGGTCGGAGGTGGGGGGTGGAAACGTCGGACAGTGGCAGAGAAGGGAGCAATGCTGCTGAAGGTAGGGACTGGGGGGCGGCTCCCCAGTTTCCCGGGGCATCAGGGACATCTGCGATAACTGCTTTGGATCCCACCACCTGCACCACACTCACACCGATGAGACTCGGATGGCCCGAGTCAAGGATCAGTTTCGTTTTGTTTTTTAAACTCCTCGAGGGTCCAATGTGCTGAGAGCTGATCTAGGGCATGACTGGGAGGGAGGGGCCGAGGTCACGTGGAGGACAAGAGATGGAGGCACCCCAAGGTCGGGGTGGTGGAAAGATCACTGGTCTGGCTTTGCAAGCAACTGAGAACGACAGAAGTAGCAGTGAGTGGGGGTGAACAGGAGCTTGGTTATTCACGAAAGGAGGCGAGGCCGTCAGGGGCTGAGACCAACAGAGTGGGGCAGGAAGTGCCAACACCCGGGCTTCAGGACTGAGGGATTTTGTGGGGGAGAGATGGGCCTGGGGATGACGGTGAGGAGGACCCTTGGCAGAAGTGGAGGGTGTGGATCCAGTTCGAGCAAGAAAGGGAAGAAGCATCCAGAGGATGGAGGACTTTGGCAGGAAGGTCAGACGTGGGTGCCTGCACACGTGCCCCAGCCTGGGGACACAAGGGACAACGTGGGAGTCCTGGCTCAGTGCGAGGATGATGAGTCCATGCGGTCACCCGCGCAAAGCCCTGACCACAGGATCGCCCGTGGTTGTACAAGCAGACAGCAAATGTGAGTGGTTGTTCCTTTTAGCAGCCTGTCCCGCCTCGGCCCAGCGGCCCAGCCGCCCACCCTGACCCTGGAGCCAAGTTACCCAGAAGGCCTGGAAGTGGCAGGTCTCCAGCAGGTCTCCGAGGTACAAAATCTGTCGGATTGGCCGTTCTTCTTGCTAAGAGGAGGAAGTGTTAAGGGAAAACAGCCCTGAGCCCACCTTCTGTTCACCGTAGCATGCTTAAGGCAACAGGTGATCCGGCAATGGAGACACGAAGCCAAAACCTGGCCTGTCCACACTCTGGGGTCGAGTCAACTCTTAGAGACCTCACGTGGAGATGCAACAAGACGTGCTGGAAGGTGAAAAGGCAAAATGCAGACCAACATGCGTAAGAGGCCACCATCTGGATGGGGGGGCTGGTGTGTGTGCACGCGCACATATGGGTGGGGACACACACACGTGTATGTGAACACACACACCTGTACTCAAGGTATCTCTGGAAAGGTACCTGAGAACAGCAAACAACCTGCCTCCTGGCAGGGGAGTGCAGTGCCTGTGGGACAGGGGAGGGAGGAGGCCGTCTTTTTCCACCATATGCTTTTTGTACTTTTAACAGTGTACCGTGTGCCTTTTTTTTTTTTTTTTAAAGTTAACAGAACAGACCCCTGGGCAAGGTGGACAATCTCTCAGAAGGCAGGCACGCCCATGGACACACACAGGTTCAATGCGTAAGCCCCCATTTCTCAGCTCAGCTGCTGATGGGCAGGTCAAGTGTGACCCTCGGGACTGTGAGCGCCAGAAGCACAGATGGGGGGACTCTGCCAAGCTTGTCAAGTGACTCAAGGGCAGAGGGAGGCTCCCCTGGCCAAGTGGTGGACCTGTCACAAAAACGCAGGCCAGAGGAAAGCAAAGGGTGGGGGGGGGAGCCAGTTCATTTTCAGGCAACCTTGAGTTACGGATGGCCAGCGCGGTGCCAGATACGGAAGACACATAGAAGGAAGTTCAACTGATGCTCCAGCTCTTCATGGCTCCTGCCTCTTGCCTGGTGGCCTTCACTCAGCTACAACCCTCAGTGGGAATCCTTCTAAAGCCTACATCTACCCAACTCACTCTGCAGTTTAAGCCTTCCACGGCTTCCCGGTGCCCTTCGGAGCCTGACCAGATTGCATTTTGGAATCTGTGGTGAGGCTGCGCCAAACTTCTTCTGTGACCTCTGAAAGAGCACTGACCTCTTCTTTTTTCTCTCTGGGCCTCCTTACATACTGTTCCCTCCACCCGGATCACCCTTCCCTAGCACTTCATTTAGCTCATCTTTCAGACGTTCCCTCCTCCAAGAAGCCCTCCCTAACATCCGGGCAGGGTCAGGTGCTTCCTCTGGCCTCTCTAAACCCTGAGCCTGGACGAGTGCAGGTGGTCCCTGATGGAGGACCTCTCTCACCCGCTGCATGGTGAGCTCAGGGAGGGCAGGGGCCAGGCGTGTCACAGCCACCTAAATGTCCCAACCGGCACCGCACCAAGCCCAGAGCAGGCGCTCGGAGTTTGTGGCTGAACTCACAGACCGATCACCCGGGAATTCATCTACCTTGCCCTCAGCCCCTCCCCTGCACACCCCACCCGGAAACTGGAAGGATACATGTGCCTGATCGATCATGCACTTGCACAGTGTGAAGTCTGTGTGGGGCAGGTTGGTGAGGGCCTTCAGCAGGATCTGGGCGGTGACTGTGGTTTGAAAGAAGGCTGGGTTGAACTGGTACCTGAGAAGGGGAACAAGAGACAGAGCCATAGTAGCTTCTTCAGCTCCCTGGGCCTCATGAGAGGCCCAGTGCTGTGGCCCAGAGCTCAGGAGTTGGACATGCCTGGGCTCCACTCACAGCACTTTGGCTCTATGACCTTAACCTCCCTGACCTACTTTCCTATTCTGCAGATGGGGACAGTTAATCCTCCCAACCACCCCATAAGCCAGACACTGTTGCGTGGGTCACAAAGAGGGGGCCTGGGTGGCTCAGTCGTTGGGCGTCTGCCTTCGGCTCAGGTCATGATCCCAGGGTCCTGGGATTGAGCCCCACTTCGGGCTCCCTGCTCGGCGGGAAGCCTGCTTCTCCCTCTCCCACTCCCCCTGCTTGTGTTCCCTCTCTCACTGTGTCTCTCTCTGTCAAATAAATAAATAAAATCTTTTTTTTTTAAAGATTTTATTTATTTGAGAGAGAGAGAGAATGAGAGAGAGCACATGAGAGGGGTTAGGGTCAGAGGGAGAAGCAGACTCCCTGCCGAGCAGGGAGCCCGATGCGGGACTCGATCCAGGGACGCCAGGATCATGACCTGAGCTGAAGGCAGTCGCTTAACCAACTGAGCCACCCAGGTGCCCATAAATAAATAAAATCTTAAAAAAAAAAAGTGGTTCACAAATAAATAAATACGTAAGTATAGTCTGGAGCAGTGGTCGAGGCTCTGGAGGCAGATTGCTTGGGTTCCAACTTCCCTCATAAGTGACCTTGGACTACCTCTTTGAAATTCTCTGTGCATCAGTTCCCTCCCTCGAAAGAAGGGACAATAACAACCCTATGTACTTCACAAAGACAATACAGCATCTGAGTTAATACACACAAAGCTTACAGCACAGTAGCTACCGCATGATGAGCGCTAAGCAGCAATTACCCCACTAACAATCTAAACAACCCCATAAATACGAGTGTTACCTCCATTTTACAAATATCAAAACTGAGACAACATATAAAAATTACACAACTGACAGCGTGTTAACACAGCACTGTGGGGATAGAACGCAGAGGTCCATCAGCGAGAGGACAGGTCATTTAGACAGTCTTGCACAGGAAAGCACTACACAAGGACAACAAATTGCAGCCGCAGGAAAAATGGATCGATCTCACAAACTCGGTGCTAAGTGGAAGATGCCAGATGCAGAGAAGCTCATGCTGTAGGACTACATTTGTGTCAAATTCAACACAGGCAAACCTGAGCCAAGCTCATCAGGATGCATGGGTGTGTGGTAAACTCACACAAAACCAGACCATGAGAGCATAAAAGCGGTTACTAGGGTGGGGGTGAGGTGGCCAGCACAAAGCATACGAAGCAAAGGGCCTGGGGCCCTGATAACACTCAATTTTGTAATAAGCCTGGTGTTTATGTGGGTTTTCACTTGTACTTATTTAGCTATGTTTCTCTGTTTTGTACCAACCTATATGTGTAACGTGTGATTAATTTTTAAAAACCATCTCTCATCCTGTGCCAACTCCCTTGGCTTCCTAGCCTTGCACACCAGGAGAAGCCACATCCGGAAGACCACCCCCAACTCCGTCCTCACCCAATGTTAAGAATGGCCCCCTGCTGGCTGCTGGCCCGGAGGTGGGGATGGAGGCAGACACTCACAGCTTCAGGACGGCCAGGTTGGCTTCCAGGTCGTAGGCATTCTCCTTGGCCTGCGTCTCCACATACCGCTCCAGGGTGGCCAGATTCTCAGGATTGTACCTACAGAAGAATCAGGACGGGTGAGCAGAAAGGGAAGAGGAGCTGAGGCCAGTCACTTTGTGGGGGTGGGGAGAGAAGGGCGCTGTAACCTGCTCCTCCTTCCCTTCCTTCCTTTCCTCCAACTCTGCTATTACTTTTTTTTTTTATATAGATTTTATTTATTTATTTGACAGAGAGAGAGATAGCGAGAGCAGGAACACAAGCAGGGGGAGTGGGAGAGGGAGAAGCAGGCCTCCCGCCGAGCAGGGAGCCCGATGTGGGACTCGATCCCAGGACCCTGGGATCATGACCTGAGCCGAAGGCAGACGCTTAACGACTGAGCCACCCAGGCGCCCTCTGCCATTACTCTTGAATCAGCTCTGTAACCTCTAATAACACTTACCCACATTACAGACCTAAGCCAAAGCTCTGAACCCCATCAGAGCCCTGGGTCTTTTCTAGGATGCCCCCCCCAACACCTCTCAGCCAATCAGTCATTGCAACCTGTACACCTGGCCTCCTGGACATCTTTGCCCCTCACCCCCTCCTCCCCTCTCCAGATCCCCACCCTGGTTTAGCCCCATCCTCTCCTGCTTAGTTTCCCCCATCCCAGCCCTGATTACTTCTGGCTATCACTGCCTATTGTCCGGTTTGTCTGGACTCTGAACTGGGAACTCCATGAAAGCATGGCCTGGGGCTATCTTGGTCACCTCTGGTCCCCAGCACTGCCCAGAGCGAAGAGAGTAGATTTCAGTGACGTGTGCTGAATGAACGGCATTAGAGGAAAAGAAAACAGAGATGAAGAGGCACTGACACACACTGTGCGAGGCTGAGGAGCGGAGTCACAGGAAACTGAGGGGCTGTGAAAGGGAAAGCTGAGGAGCAGAGAGGAAGACCTAAAGCAATTAAAAAGCGGGAGCACTGCGAGGTAGGCAGGGCTGTCTCCCGCCCGCAGGCTTCTGCAGTGCCGTTTCCTTAAACACGGCCTCCTCCGGGACGAGTAGGAAAGCCTACTCCCGGGCCAGTCCAGGATCCCGACCACCCCTTGCGGTCTCCAGAAAAACCCCTCCACCACGCCGCTTGGCCGGAAACGCTCCCTCCGACCGGGCTCAGACCTGTCGATACCCTTGAGCAACTTGCCCACGTTCGCTCTCATCTGCTCAAACATCGCCATGACGACTATCGTCTCCCACGCCGGAGCTGGAGGTGAAGAGCCACCCGGTAGGGCGTCCCCGAAGACCGGAAGAGGAAGAGGTGGTGGAAACGGAAACTACGTCGTTGTCTTCTCCGAGCCGTTGGCGGCGGCTGCCACGTGACTTTCTTCCCGGCGGGCGAAGTTGGCGCGTGCGCATACGCTCCCCCCGAGCTGGACCAACAGCGTGAGAAAAGGCTTGATCTAGTCCAGTACGCAGGCGCCGTCTCGGGGCGAGGAGGCGGGGCGAAGCTTTTCCCGGGCCTCCCGCACCGCGTTCTAGCCCCCTGGGACGTGCGCGCGAACTCCGCAGCTGGGAGACGGCTCTCTACCGGTGCACGCGCGTTGTGTTGCGCGCGGTCGTGAACTAACAAAACTGTGCTGGGGTGCGCGCCGTATCCCTTAACTTGGGCCCTGGCCAGATTCCCGAGGGAAGTGCTCTTTGACGTCCCCCTGCCCCAGGCGTCGGCCTCTGCAGCAGGATCCCGAGCTCTGGGGTCCAGAACCTCGTCCCCACCCTCCGCCCCAACTCCAGCGGTAGGGACCCGTAAGGCTGTGGTGCTCTGCCCGGCAGGGGCGGGCTGGGCCGAAGGGCTCCTGGACCCTGCCGGCTGGCGCTCAGGCCCCTTTAGGCTCCAGTCTTGCGGGAGAAGGCGAGTGCCCTTCTGCACACTAGGCGTGAATGCACAAGCATGTGTCATATACGTGGAGGTATGTGCTCTGGGCGCGTCCACGTGTGTGCACACGGGTATCCAGGCACGTGTACGTCTACTGGTCTGCGCACAGTGGGTACATAGGTGGGCACCGCTCAGTGTATATGTGTACCCCAGGGAACAGGCATGTACAGTGCATGACCACTCCTCTGCTAGCCTACCATCTCCATCTCCGGATGGTGGCCAAACCCTCAAGCACTCCGCAGAGTTTCAACTGTGGTTTTTAGCCACCGCCCAGAAGGCGGGAGGGGGAGCCAGGGCACGCCCCCCCCCCCCCCCCATCACAAGATAGTTTGCATCTGGTTTACATTCAGCCCTAGGCCCTGGAGGCGGGGTGGGGGGTCCCCTGGGTCCCAAGACAAGCTGCCCCTCACAGGCTCTCAGGGCCCAGGGGACAGGGGGTGGAGCCCGCTGCACAGCCCTGTGCTGGGGCAGGAAGCGAGAGTGGGGAGGGGGGAGGCCACAGCCGGTGGAGGCAAGGCAAGGCGGGTGCAGGGCGCAGGACGTGTGGGGAGGGAGGGAGGTGTCACACTCGAGCCCTGAGGCCCTGCTGGCCCCTGGGCACAGGCCCAGCTCCAGCCCCCAGGGATGGACCTCGTGGACCCTGACATCTTTAACAGGGACCCCCGGGATCACTATGACCTGCTGCAGCGGCTGGGTGGAGGAACCTACGGAGAAGTCTTCAAGGTGAGGACACCCCTCCTTCTCCATCACCCTCAGACCAGCGAGCCTTTGGGATGAGGCCCAAGAAGGGAAGGGGATGAGAAAGGATCCCAGTCCTTGGCTTTGGCTCAGGGATGCTGAGGAGGAACTCAGGCGAATGGAGCCTGCCTGACTGCCAACTTCCCCTTTACAAGGCTCGAGACAAAGTGACGGGGGACCTGGTGGCAGTAAAGATGGTGAAGATGGAGCCTGGTGAGGACACAGGAGCGCCTTCCCCACACCCCTACCCCTCCTCTTGGGACACCGGGATCGCCTCCCCCATACTCCCTCCCCACAGCGGCCTTTTCTTTCCTGTTCCTCCTCACAGACGATGATGTTTCCACACTTCAGAAGGAAATCCTCATCTTGAAAACTTGCCGGCATGCCAACATCGTGGCCTACCACGGGAGTTACCTCTGGTGATGAGCCTCAAACCTGCCCTGGGACCATGCCCAGCCCCTAGCCCAGAACCCCCATTCCTGACCTCCAATCCTGGACCCCCATTTTAAACTGGGCCCCCCCAACTCGATCCCCAGTCTGAAGTCCCACTTTTCTGACCAGAGTGTTCTCTGCTGTAATCTGCAGTTCAGGACTCCCATTTCTGAGCAGGGAACCCCAAAAGCAATCCCTTCGTAGTAACCAAACCTGAAAGAAAGCAAGTCCCCTAAAACTAATCTTTTGTCATCCTGCCCTTCAGATCCCCCAGTTCCATTCTCTGCTCCTTTCATTCCCTAAATCCCCGGACCCCTAAATTAAAATCCCAGATGCCCCAGTAATGACCTCTGTCCCCCAGACCTGGCACCCTAGGCCCCTTTGTCCCCCCTGAACCTGACCAACTTGGGAGCTATCTGCCCTGTCTTCTGGGTTAGCGTAGATTAGCAGAGTTAGGAGTCCTCCTGGGTTAAGAGTCCAAAGACCTGGGTTTGAGTCCAGTTGACCCTGAACATAGGTTTGCTCTCTGAGCCTCAACTTCCCCACCTGTAAAATGGAAGTGGGATGATCTCACTCTGGTGGGCAAGGGGAGGTGGATGACAGCTATTACCTTAAAGTTCTTTTTTTTTTTTTTAAAGATTTTATTTATTTATTTGACAGAGAGATACACAGTGAGAGAGGGAACACAAGCAGGGGGAGTGGGAGAGGGAGAAGCAGGCCTCCCGCGGAGCAGGGAGCCCGATGTGGGGCTGGATCCCAGGACCCTGGGATCATGACCTGAGCCGAAGGCAGACGCCTAATGACTGAGCCACCCAGGCGCCCCATTACCTTAAAGTTCTTATTGAGCTGGAACAAGACAGAGAGTGAGCTGGGGGTGTCCCATAAGTGATGACTTATTCCTGCTGTTATTATTACTCGAATTGTAGGCTTCAGAAGTTCTGGATATGCATGGAATTCTGTGGGGCTGGTTCTCTCCAGGACATCTACCAAGGTGAGAGGAAGGGCAAGGGGGATCCAGGGAGCACCCCCTCCTCCACCCCTCCTATCTCTCTGTGGTTGTGTCTTCTGGGACCGTCTTTCTGGTCCACATTTCCTGCAAGGAGCCCCGCTCTGGGCCCAGGCCTGGCCTGGTCGGTGTTGGTGCTGGGAATACTGTGGTGACCGAGTGGGCCCTGGGCCCTTGCCTCCAGCACTTGATGGTCCAGCCCCGATCTCTCGGCATGCACTCATCCCCTCCCATTTTCCTCTCTCTGCATTTTCTCACCAACGTGTCCGTTCAGGTGTTCGAGTATTTCTGCACTTTTGGCCCATAGCCGGGTCCACGTTTTCACTGACTGAGTGAATGAATTCCTGACTCTCTCTCTCAGCCTGCTTCTCACTCTTTTTGAAAATTTGAGGATGGGGATGGGGTGGGCCTCTGATCACCTCTCAATTTCTCATGGTCACCTCTGTCTTCGGCCTCCTCTCTGTCTCTGTGAACCCCAAGATCTCAAATGTCAGACAAAGAAGAAATTCCAGATTAAGTCACCAGGGGGGAAACTAAGGCCCTTAGAGAGGAAGTGGCTCACCCAGCCGGTCTACCAGACCTGGTCTCTGACCCCTTCTCTCTGTCTGTTGTCTCCCTATCGTTCTCTCTCCACCTCTGTGTCTCTCTCTTTTTCAGTTTGTCTTTCTTCGTGCTTTTGGGTCTCAGTTTGAATCTGTTCCCGTTTCTCTGTCTTTCTGTTTCTCTCTCATTATCTGTGTGTGTGCGTTGGTGTCCGTGTCCCTCTGCCTTTCCTCATTTTGCAAACTCCCATCACCCCCTGCTCAGAACACTCCCATGGCTTCCATTTCCCTCTGAAGAGAAGCCCGAGCTCCCCAGGGTGACCCCCACCTGCACCCAAGCTGCCAGACTTCACCTCCTACCCCTTTTCTCTCCCACCCCCACTCTGCTCCACCCACTTTGCCCTTTTCCGAACCCACCAGGCCCTCTCCACCGCTGGGCCTTTGCACTAGCTCTTCTGTTCCCTTCCCAGCTGGACTGATCACATCTTCACCCTGACACTTTCTCAGAGTAGGCTAGACTTCACCGACCACCCTGTAAAATGTCATACCCCTTCCCACACATATTTCCTGTTGTTCTTTCTTGCTTTAGTTTTCTTCTTGCTGTTTATTAGCATCTCAGGCGCTATGCTGTAGTTATCTTGTTTACCGTCTGTTGCCCTGACTGGAATGTTCCCTCCACGAGGGCAGGGATCTGTCTTTTTGGTTCACAGCTGTCTCCCCAGTGCCCACCACAGTGCCTGGCACCCAGTGGACACAGAAATATCTGTTGAATGAATCTGTCTCCCTCTGGCCTCTGGTTCCCTGTGTTGGTCGCTGACTATCCCTCCATCTCTCCCTCCCACTTGTCCCATCTGTTCCTCCCTCCCCATGTGGGTGGGGGCCAGGTTCTCCCGGGGCCAGGTTTCCTGGTTCCCACCCAACGCTACTGGTGTGACCTTTGCAGTGACAGGCCCCCTGTCCGAGCTCCAGATTAGCTATGTCTGCAGGGAAGTGCTCCAGGTAAGGAGAGACCGGGTGGCCCTGGGTCAGGGCAGGGCCCTGCTCCAGCCCCTGGGCACTCACATCCCCCATGTCCACCCTTCTCCCAGGGACTTGCCTATCTGCACTCACAGAAGAAGATACACCGGGACATCAAGGTGGTCTAGGGGCAGAAAAGTGGCCTGGGTGGGGGGGTGGGGGGAGGCCAGGAGATGGAAGTGGTGTGTGGAGGACTCAGGGTGGTGTGGAGCTGTGGGGTTGGGAAGGGCCACGGGGTGGAGGCAGCATTGGGCTGGGGGGTGTCTATGACAGCCTCTAATTTCCCCCTCTCTCTCCAGGGAGCCAACATCCTCATCAATGACGCTGGGGAGGTCAAGCTGGGTGAGTGTGGTGGGTGGGGGTGGGGAGGGGACTGGCTGGGGGCCAAGGGAATAAGGCAGCCCGGGTCACCATGTCTCTCTCTCTCTCTGCCTCCAGCTGACTTTGGTATCTCGGCCCAGATTGGGGCCACGCTGGCTCGACGCCTCTCTTTCATTGGGACGCCCTACTGGTGAGGGATGCCTGGTGGGGGTGCAGTGGGGGGCGGTGGCCATCCCCACCTGGATCACTAGGAATCTCCTTCCTGGCTCCTTTCCCTGCCTCTACCTTTCCCTGTTGAACATTCTGCTTACTGTTTGGCTCTCTCTTGAGTTTCCCTTTTGCCTAGGTCTCTTTCTGTTGATGTTTCTTCTGATCGGTCTGTCTCTGCCTCTGTCTCGACCTCCCTGTGTCTGTCTTTATTCCGGTCTCTCTCTTCACCTTGCCGTTGCTCTCTGCATCTGGCTCTCTCGGTGCCCCATTCTCCTCTCTCCGTCTCCCTCCTGCCCCCCGCCCCCACGCCAAGGAGTCGCCCCCTTCCCCTCCTGGTGTCACCCCTGGCTCTCTGAGGGTCTCTGCCCCCCCCAGGATGGCTCCAGAAGTGGCGGCCGTGGCCCTGAAGGGGGGATACAACGAGCTGTGTGACATCTGGTCTCTGGGCATCACAGCCATCGAACTGGCCGAGCTGCAACCACCGCTGTTTGATGTGCACCCTCTCAGGTAGGCAGGCCTGACCAGTACCCCCCAGCCTTGACCCTGAGCACCGCCCCCCCACGCCTACAAGAGACACCCCTTCCTCAGCGCTCGCTCTGAGACCTCCCCAAGGATCCTCTCAACCCAGAAAGCCTTTTCTTCAGCTGTCCACAGCGGGGAACCCCCAGTGCAGGGGCTCCCTATCTGGAGGCCCCCATCTTAGTTGCTGTAGCTCTGTCACGTGACAGACAGAGTCTCCCGGAAGTGGCATCCCAGCGCATTGTAAAACCTAAACCCCATTCTGGTTCTGTCCCTTGTTTTGCTCTCTGCTGACCTCAGTGCTGTTGGGGACCTCTCGAGCCATGAGGTCTGACCCCCCCCATTGGGAGTCTGAACACCACGTTCTCTCCTTACTCTTCTAGAGTTCTCTTCCTCATGACAAAGAGTGGCTACCAGCCCCCCAGGCTAAAAGAAAAAGGCAAATGGTAGGACAGGGCGAGGGAGAGGGGAGCCAGGATTGAGGGTCTGATAGGAGAGCTTCTGGTCTCCTCACCCCAGAACTTGGCTTCTTCCTCCCAAGGTCGGCTGCCTTCCACAACTTTGTCAAAGTCACCCTCACTAAGAACCCCAAGAAACGACCCGGTGCCACCAAGATGCTCAGTGTAAACGTCCCCTCGCTTCCCTGAAGAGCCCTTCCCAAACTCTCACCCCCAGAATTCCCCAGGACCTCCCCAAGATCCTCCAAATTGTACCCCAAACTTTTTGCCAAGATACCCTGAGTTGTTAAAACTCACAAATTTCCCAGGGTCTCCAGACCCATTCCTGGGTTTACTCTGGAATTCCAGGGGAAGCCCGGTCCCCTCTAAGACACCTCTGGAATTCTCCATTTGCCCCTGCTGGGAATTCTAGATTCTTCTAATCCCTTCCAACCCCTTAAAATCCCCCAGTCTCAGTTCCCCAGGGTTCCCTGCCTTCTCCTTAGGTTGGCACCTTCCCCACTAGATTCCCTTAGACGGGTTCTCAGGCCCCTGTCCCAGCCTCTCCCCCACACCAGTGACCCCCTCCAGGGGATGTCCGCTGACCCCCTCCTCCCCTCTCTAGCATCAGCTGGTGTCCCAGCCCAGGCTAAATAGAGGCCTGATCCTGGATCTTCTTGACAAACTGAGGAATCCAGGGAAGGGGGTCCCTGTGGTCGAGATTGAAGATGAGGAGCCTGAGGTGAGGGCGCCCTGGCCCACAAAGTGATGGAAGCTCCCAGACTTTGCTCAGGCTGTACCCCCTGCCAGGAGCCCTTTCCTGCTGCCTCTCTTCAAAGGAAAAAGGGGAGGGGGGAGGCGGGGCTTGGCACGGCTGGGGGCACAGAGGGGTAGGGGAGAGCCCGAGGCTCCCAGCTGGGCCCACAGGGTGGGAGGGGTGCCAGAGGGCTGTGGCCCTGAGCTGCCCCTCTGCCCAGGTGCCCCCTGCTGTCCCCCGGCGGATCCGGTCCACCCACCGATCCAGCTCCCTAGGGATCCCAGATGCCGACTGCTGTCGTGAGTAGAGAATCCTTAAGCTTGGGGATCCCTGACCCTATAATAGATTCAAGACCCACTCCACACACACACCCCACCCCCGTGATTCTGCCAGAGACCCTCAGAACCATCTGATCTCATGATCGACCCTCAGAGACCCTCGTCACTATCTGGCCCTGCAAGAGACTCCAGAAAACCTCATCACCGCCTGACCTACAAAATGAATAGAGAGACCCCCCCACTTCTCTGACCTGCAAACAGACCCCATGAGACTTCCCATAACACCAGGACCCCCAAAGAGACCTCCAAAATCTCTGTCACATCCCAATACCCAAATGGACCGTGAAAACAAACGCTCTATAACTTTGAGCCCCCACCTCCCTGGTCCCAAACCTTGACCCCGGCCCCCCAAGTGAGACCCTGGAAACCAAGACCCTTCCCCCTACGGGACAGCTCTAGTCCTTAGATCTTGACCCTGAACCCTCCCCGTTCAAATTCTCCTCTTTTCCCAGACCCATCTTCTCAGCTCACTGTGTTACTGTTCCCCCCAACCTTCCAGGGCGGCACATGGAGTTCCGGAAGCTCAGAGCGATGGAGTCCAGACCCATACCCCACACGGTGAGAGGCCTCCCCCTGCTCTAGCCCCAGACGCCCTCCCCTCCCCCTAGGCACCGCTGACCCTTTACCATCCCACAGGCCCACTTACAGCCCCCTGGAGACTTCAGGAGCAGCAGTCCTAGGTCAGGGACCTTCAGCGTGGAGGGGAGGGGGCTGGGACATGTGGGGGAACCGCCTGAGGGTCATGCCTGTCACTTCTCAGGAGGCAGCTGTCAGAGTCTGACGATGACTATGACGACGTGGACATGTAAGAGAGCCGTGGCCCCCAGCCCCACCGGCCCTCACCCACCCTGCCTTCCTATGACCGCCATCTCCCTTCCATCCCAACCCCAACCTCAGCCCCTACTTGCCTTCCTCCACTCATCCCGGACCCTGACTAGACCCCGGCACCCCCACTTTCCTTCCCCCCCACAAAGCCAACCCCCAGCTCCACCCAGACCCCCCACCTCATCCCCGCCCCCAGCTCCCAGATATTGCTCAGACCCCCAGTCTTCCACTGCAGCCCAAACCCTCAGAACCCAGCCTTCATCTGCATCTTCCCCCCTGGGAACTTGCCCCACACCACACCCTTGGCCCAAGACCCCATGTCAGCCCCAACAGTCAGCCCAGACCCCAGGCCTGTGTCCGCCTCACGCCCCCACCCATCCCTTCTGCACATCTGGCTGCCGTGCCCAGCCCCAAGCGAGAACCTGCGCCCCCGGAGCTCGGATGATCTGCGTCACTAGGTGACTGGAGATTCAGGCTGGATGCATCGTCCACACTCGATATCCAGCATCGCTGTTGCCAGGATCATCATGGCTCCGAGGGCTTTAATCCTCAGCTCCATCCCAGACCCAGTCACCCCTGGCCCTCTTGACCTCAGACCTCCAGTCCCAAACCACCCCATCTGCCCCGAGTCCTTGTTACCGATACCCCCCCGCCTACTCACCCCATCTTTGTGTTCCAGCCCCACCCCTGCAGAGGACACACCTCCTCCACTCCCTCCCAAGGTAAGTAAGGCCCTGGGCCCGCTGGAGCTGGGGGCCGGGGGCCAGGAGGCCAGGTCCCTTAGACGCTGGGATACCGGGCACTCTAAGGCTGAAGTGTGGGACACCGGGTCCCTTGAAGTCTGGGAGACGGGATGATGAGCACTTTGGGATCTGGAAGCAGCATCCTTGAACCTAGGGTGGGATTCAAAGTATTTAGCCAGATGGGCACTGGTCCCGGGAACCCCCAGCACGAAGCGCTCTGGCATTAACCCTTTAGTTGCTGGAGTGCGTTGATGATGGGTGGGGGGTGGGAGGTCAGGGTTAATGCTGGGGTGGTAGTAGGACACTGTGAGGAGGGTCAGAGCCATAACCAACGTCAGTTCTGGTAGAGGCAGGGCTGGGATTGCAGGGTGCCCTCTCTCTGAGATCATCTAATGTACTTTCCCACACTCCTCCTCTGTCTCCATAGCCCAAGTTCCGTTCTCCATCAGATGAGGGGCCTGGGGGCACTGGGGATGAGGGACAGCTGAGCCCGGGGGTGCTGGTCCGGTGTGCCAGTGGGCCTCCCCCCCGAACCCCCCACCTCGGGCCTCCCCCGGCCACCCGCAGCCCCCACCTAACTGCCCATTCAGGTAATGGGGCAGGCTGGGGCAGGAGGTGGGTGGGGGTGTGGGTTGGGCAGGGGAGGGGGGGCCTTTGGGGGCTGATTTTTCCCCCCACCCTGTCTCAGAACCCTCACTCTGGAACCCAACCCCCCGGGAGCCTGATCAGCCCCCATTGTTACCCCCCAAGAAGGACAAGATGAAGAGAAAGGTGAGCCCGGCCGTGCTCCCCAGATGGGGCTGGCATGCCTGGGGGTGGGATGGATAGAGTGATGATGATGAGAGGTGACATTTGGTGACCCATGCCTCTGGGCCGGAGGCTGAGCTCATGTCTTTGTGTGGTATCAGCCTTCACAGATGCTGGTAGAAATCACAGAGATAGGCATTATCCCCCATTTCACAGATGGGGAAACAGAGGCAGGGAGGTGATAAACCTTTGAGGAGGCAGAGTGCTGGCACTCTTGGGTCTTAACCACTGCACCTTCCTGTCCCCTCCTTCCTTCTGCTGGATCCGCTGCTCTGCCCCCCCGTGGCCTGCCTAGGGATGTGCCCTTCTCGTGAAGTTGTTCAATGGCTGCCCCCTCCGGATCCACAGCACAGCTGCCTGGACACACCCCTCCACCAAGGGTGGGCCCTCAGCGTGTCTCAGAGAGCAGGGCGGGGTGGGGAGGGGCCCTAATGCAGGTACAGAGGTGGGAACGGGGGAGGGGCAGAGCTGAGGCAGGACCAGAGCCCAGGGTTACAGTTGGGGTTTGGGGATCAAAGATGGGTAGAGTGAAGATGGATTTGAGGGGAAGAACTAGGAAAATAAGAGTTTGGGGGCCAGGAATGTCAGATATAACAGAAAAGTCCGCGTTTGGCATAGATGGGGGACAGTTGGACCCCATTAACCTCAGAATTTTGGGGTTTGGGAGTTTTGGGGATGGGAATGCGGAAGGGGAAGAGTTTGGGGATGAAAGATGTAGAGACAAGGTCAGTGGGGGGTAAATGTTAAAGAAACAGCATTAGGGGCGCCTGGCTGGCTCCCTCGGTGGAGCGTGTGACCCTTGATCTCAGGGTTGTAAATTCGAGCCCCATGTTGGGTGTAGAGATTACTCAAAAATAAAATCTTAAAAAAATTACTAAAACTTATTTAAAAAAAAAAACAGCATTAGAATTTGAGGGGGACACACTGGACAGAAAAGCCACATTTCAGAGGTCCTGAGTTTGAGGATCAGTGTTGAAACAAGATTAGCATTTGGGGACCAGAACTGGGAAGACAGAAGGACAGAACTTAGAAGGCTATTTGGGGAAGCATGGACTAATGTTGGGGTCAAGAGTGAGGGGGCGGGGTCAGGTTTGCAGGATTTGTGGGCCCAAGCATGAGGGTAGGTGAGAATGAGATCAGCTCAGGGGACTGGGTTAGGGTTTGAGTTCACATTTGGGGAAACAGAGGCTGGGAGAGTCAGTATGGGAGTAAGAGAGAATGGAGGGTCAGGGCTGGGGGACAGACTACCAGTGTTTGGGGTCAGACATGTGGGGGTCTGGGAGGCCCAACAGGATGATGTAGGTCCCAGTGTCCTTGTGTCTGTCCCCACAGACCAGCACCTGCTTCTGGGGGCAGAGGAAGGCATTTTCATCTTGAACCGGAATGATCAGGAGGCTACGCTGGAGATGGTGAGCACAGGGCCTGAGGGCCAAGGGCAGGGGGATGGAGTTGGGGGTTGCTGGGGTCTTATAGGAGCCATCTCCCCCGTTCTCTGCAGCTCTTTCCCAGCCGGACTACCTGGGTATACTCCATCAACAATGTCCTCATGTCTCTCTCAGGTCTGGCTGTGGGTTGGGTGGGAGGAGGGGGTTCAGAAGTTAAGGGGTTGAGAGTCAGGGGGTTGGGAGGTAGACGGGCACAGCTGGAAAAAAACAAAACCAAACAAACGTACGCTCCCTCTTCACAGAGCCTGCAGTTAAAATCCCAGCCACTTTTTCACTGGGGAACTTGCTCCTTGAGCCTCAGTTTCCCTATCTGTAAAATGGGGTTCACAATAGTCCCACCTCCAGTCAGTTTTGAGGTGAGGTCTCCAGGAAGTCTTTACATTTCCTTGATGTTTAGATGCCGATCAGAACTTATTCCATGCTTTACTAAAATAGAGTGAGCGAGGGGTTATAGTTTACAATTTTGTGTTATTGTTTTATAAACATTTTGGGTGAAAGAATTTCTAATCTATGGGGAAAGGCCAAGCCAAATAGGCCGCATGAGTTAGTTAATAATCACATCTGTGACGACATGCTTTGGGAGAATTTCTAGATCTCTTCAACTTAATAATGTGTGTAACTTCCTCTGAATGGTGCAGTGTCCATAGGTTCTCCTGTCGCTGCAAGTGCAGGAGGATGGGGAACATAGTTATCTTACTCCTTGTTCACCAGAGCCCAGCACAGTGCCTGGCCCACAGTGGACACTTAAAATATGTCGAGTGAAAAAGGCATAAATAAAAGTGCTTGAGACTTGGAGCCTTGGGAGTTTCAAAGGGATGGGGCCAAGTGAAGGGACAGAGAAAGGTGGGAGTGTCTGGTGTCCTATAACTGCCTGCTTCCCCCCTACACACACACACACTGCAGGAAAGACCCCCCACCTGTATTCTCATAGCATCCTGGGCCTGCTGGAACGGAAGGAGACCAGAGCGGGAAGCCCCATCGCTCACATTAGCCCCCACCGGCTACTGGCAAGGTACCAGCTCCCAGTGGCACCGCGGACCCCTGGGATGCCCCCTTCCTGCTGTCCCTCCGCATTTATGCCTGCTTTCTTCTGCAGGAAGAACATGGTCTCCACCAAGATTCAGGACACCAAAGGGTGCCGAGCTTGCTGCGTGGGTGAGAGAGAATCCCAACTGGGCGGACCTGAAGGGGGGTGTGGGGCTGGGCCAGACGCGGGGCTTGGGCTGCATCTACCCGAGAGGGTTGCAGTTAAGGCAGGCTGTCCAGAGTCCGGGGAAATATGTGCGCCCTTTCGGCGGGGGGGGGGGGGGGGGGGGACGGGGATGGGGAGAGAGGATTGACCCTAACCCATCCCTACCCACCTCTACAGCGGAGGGTGCGAGCTCGGGGGGCCCGTTCCTGTGCGGGGCATTGGAGACGTCCGTGGTCCTGCTTCAGTGGTACCAGCCCATGAACAAGTTCCTGCTGGTCCGGGTAGGGGGCCTGCAGAGGCTGGGGTCTCTGTGAGGTTCAATGGCTAGGGCCTTCCACTCGTTCTGCTTCTGCCGAGAGCTTGGTGAAGCCCCGCTTCCACCCGAGGCCCCGCCCACCTGCGGTAGGCGCCCGAGGCTCCCCCTCCGGAGGGCTTCCTGGTCCTTAAGCTCCGCCTCTCACCCAGCCTAATTATTTTTCAGGCCCTATGTCCCATCCCCCCGGGTCTCCAGGAGACCCCACTCAGATCCTTTGAGTCTAAGGAGACTTGGCTGCCTTTGAGGTTACGCCCCTCCGGGGGCCCTGCCTTTCTGTCATGAAGGCGGCACGACCCGAACAGAAGCCGCGCCAACTCTAAGGCCACATCTGTCCATTTCTAAGGAGGCATCACCTCATTCCTCTGGGCTCTCACCCCATGAAGTTTCTAGACGGCATCCCTCCGAACCGAGGGCCCGGGAGATACTTGCGAAGCCCCCTGCGGGTTCTCCTCCCAGGCCCCGCCCCCCGGGCCCCGCCCCCGGGCCCCGCCCTCCCAGGCCCCGCCCTCCCAGGCCCCGCCCCACGCCTCCTCTGAGCCCGCCCCTCCCTGTGCGGCCCGCAGCAGGTGCTGTTCCCGCTACCGACGCCCCTTCCAGTGTTCGCGCTACTCACCGGGCCAGGCTCCGAGCTGCCCGCCGTCTGCATCGGCGTGAGTCCGGGGCAGCCGGCGAAGTCGGTGCTCTTCCACACCGTGCGCTTCGGCGCGCTCTCCTGCTGGCTGGGCGAGATGAGCACAGGTGAGGGCGGGCGGGCTCGCTGGGGGCGGGGCTGCTGGCAGGGGCGGGGCGGCGGGGCGGGGCGGGGCTTTAGCCCTGAGGTGCGATTGGGAAAGGGGTTGAGCCTGGGGCGAGGGGAAGAAAGGTGGATGCAGGTACGACCGGGGAGACTGAGGACCCGGCCGGCCGTGGTGATGGGCGGGGCTTAGCCTGCCGGCTTGGGAATGGAGAGGGTGCCCGGCGGAGGAAGGCAGAACCCGGCCGAATTGGTGTTTGAAACCTCCTCCTGTCAAATAGAGCACAGGGGACCGGTCCAGGTGACCCAAGTAGAGGAAGACAAGGTGATGGTGTTGATGGACGGTAAGGACCCTCCTCCCTCTCTTTCCTCCACTGTTCCTGGATCTCCGCCTCGCAGACCCTGTGCTTCTCAGAAATGCTGAACCCCTACAGGCCTTGCCTGCCTCCTGCTTTGCTTCTCAATGAATTTATTGTCCAGTCCCTCAGCAGTCCCGCCTCGCTCTTTAAGAGCCTCGCTCTTAAAACCCTCTCTCTACCCTCTTCTAGGGTCCCTGAAGCTGGTGACCCCGGAGGGAGCCCCAGTCCGGGGGCTTCGAGCTCCGGAGATCCCCATGACTGAGGCGGTGGAAGCCGTGGGTAGGTGCAGGGATGGGAGGGCCCCCGGCTCGGAGTGGAGGCTCGGTGATACCCAAGGGTGACGGGCACTGCTTTCCTCCCAGCTATGGTCGGGGGTCGGCTGCAGGCCTTTTGGAAGCATGGAGTGCAGGTGTGGGCTCCAGGCTCAGACCAGGTAAGCGTCTCCGGCTGAACGCCCGCAACCCCGCCCCTCCCCCGTGGGTCTCCCAGTTCCTCAGATGGCCCCGGAGGACTGAGTCAGGGTGTGGAGCCCTGACGAGAAGCTTCCCCCGTCTCAGGGCAGACAGGTACTCTTCTATACCCCAGGGTCTCTTGGGTCCAGAGCTCATTCCAGGCCACTGGGCGATCTTATGTAAGAGATTCTGCTTCCCTCTGAGCCTCAGCCTGCAGCTATAAAATGGGGGTCACTAGAGAAATATGTGGGTGGTTAAGAGCATGAACAGACTGCCTGGGTTGGAATCCGGCTGACTGACCTTAAGCAAATGACTTCACCTTCCCGTGCCGTACTTTCCTCAGCTGGAAAATGGAGCGATAAATGGTCCTTAGCTCATAAAACACTATGTGTCAGATGTTGCCCCTCTATGTTTGTATTTTATTTAATCTCCTCGATCACCCATCAAGAAGGTCCTATGATTTCACGGGTTAGTAATCTGAGGCACAGAGAGGTAAAGTAACTTGGTTGGGTCACACAGCTGGTGAATGGTGTTAGCAAGAATGATTAGTTCCGGACCTCAGACTAGAAGTTCAGAGACACCCCCCCCCCCCGTTATCTTTAAGGGAGAGGGGAAGAATCTTCTAGATACTGACACACACACCTTTTCCCCAGCTGTTGCAGGAGCTGAGAGACCCCACCCTCACCTTCCGTCTGCTTGGCTCCCCCAGGTATGTACGCGGGGAAGGGGACACAGAACCTGGGAGGGGGGCTTCTGATGTGGAGAGGGGTCTTGAGATGTCTCCAGCCACCTCTATGTTTGGCCTGGACGTTCTCTCTCCTGCTCTCCCTGCTTCTATCTCTGCCCCTTGTAGTCCATTCCCCACACGGGAGCCAAGGGGACATTTTTGGTTTTTAATTTTTATTTTCACTGTTTATTTTGGCATAACTTTAGGCTCAGAGAGAAGTTGCAAAAATAAATTTAAAAATTAATCTTAAATTCTTGTATCCCTTCATTCATCCAGGTTCCCCGGATGTTAAGTTTTTTGGTTGTTTTTTGGGGTTTTTTGTGTGTTTTGTTTTTACCACGTTTGTATATGTACATAATTGTTTCTATTTGGGTGTGAATTGTTTCCTAAATCAAAGCAAAGACCTACTCCTGCAGACCCCAGTGCAGCTGCCAAAATCAAGGAAATAGCACAACACTACCTTCTAACCCACACACCCATTCAAGTCTCACCAGTTGGCCCAATGATACTTTTTTTTTTTAAAGATTTTATTTATTTGAGAGTGAGTGAACGAGAGAGCACGAGCAGGGTGAGGACCAGAGGGAGAAGCAGACTCCCCGCCGAGTGGGGAGCCCGACGGTGGGGCTCGATCCCGAGACTCAGGGATCATGACCTGAGCCACCCAGGCGCCCCCCGATGATACTCTTTATAACCAAAAAATAATACTTTTTTTTTTCTGGCCCAGGATGATGAGGAGTGCATGTAGGAGTCAGGTTTCTTTTGTCTTTAGCCTGGGACAATTCTTCAGGCTTTCTTTGTTTTTCAGGACCTTGATACTTTTGAAGAGTACAGGAAGGTTGTTTTCCAGAATGTCCTTCAGTTGGGTTTGAGGTTTCCAGGTTAAACATTTTGAGCAGGAATACCACCGAAGTGATGGCATGTCCTTCTCCGTGCCTATCAGGAGGCACGTGTCACTTTGTCCCATTTCGGGTGATGTTATCTTTGAGCATTTGGGTAGGGTGGAGTCAGCCCAGTTTCTCTGCTCTAAAGTTACTTTTTGTATTATTAAGTATCTTTTGGGGGTGATTTGTTGAGTGTAAATAGACTGTTTCTCATCAGACTTTCACCCACTGGTTTTAGCATCTATTGATGATTTCTGCGTGAATATATTATGAGGATAGTTACTAAATGGTTTCTGCCCTTAGTTGGCGTGCCGCTGTGGGGGGGATCTGTCCCTTCTCTGCCGTGTGTGTGTGTGTGTGTGTGTGTGTATTTCAGCACAGCCTCATGGATTTCCATTTTACTCTTGGGGGTTATTACTATAATTTTAATTTGAGGCATAAGAACTCCCACATTTAACCAGTGAGAGCCCCTTCAAGCATCTCTCATGACCTTTTGACATGCCAGAGAGGCCTTTTAAAATCTAAGTCCCATTGCGTCACTCCCCCCTCCCCCATTTAAAACCCCCGTGGCCTCAAGATAAATACCCAGTCCTGGCCACAGCCCACAAGACTTTTTGACTTCTGCAGCCAAGTCCCAAGCTCTCTCCCACCTCAAGGCCTTTGCCCAGGCTGTTCTCTGCCCAGAACACCCTTCCCTGACCTTTCACCAAGTTCCCTCCTGAGCCTTTTTGGGGCTTCATCTATTTTTTTTTTTTTTTTAAGATTCTATTTATTTATTTGAGAGAGAAAGAGCAGTGGGGAGGGGCAGAGGGAGAAAGAGAGAGAGAAGCAGGCTCCCCGCTGAACAGGAAGCCCGATGCGGGGCTCGATTCCAGGACCCGGAGATCATGACTGGATCTGAAGGAAGATGCTTAACTGACTGAGCCACCCAGGCGTCCCCTCCACCATCTATTCTTTGGGCCACCTTGGCCGACCCTTTGGGATAGGTTTCAATGCTGTTTTGCACTCCTGTAATTCACTGACTTCTGCTGGTCTCCCGTTCTAGATTGGTCTCCCGTCCTCGAGGGCAGAGACCATGTCTGCTCATTGCTGCGATGGCCCAGTACTGTGCTGGAACAGTCTCTAGTAACTCCTTTGTGAATGAATGCATGAACAAATGAATGAATGAACTGACTTCTCTCCTCCTTCCCTAGGCCTGTGGTGGTGGAGACACGCCCAGCAGATGATCCTACTGCCCCCAGCAACCTCTACATCCAGGAATGAGTCCCTAGGGGGGGTGTTGGGAACCAGTCCCTGCACCCCTATCCCCAGCGGACACACATTAGTGGTCATGACATGCACTTGTCTCCCAATAAACATGACTCCAGCCTCTGCTGTCATCTTGTTCTTCCGAAGGGGAGAGGGGAGGGCAGAATTCCTGGATGCCCCCCCCTCCCAAATGTCAAGAACCCAACACAGTGATGTCAGGGGAATAGCACAGACTTTATTTCTCCGGTACATGGTCACCTGTCCCCCAGCTGCCTTTGGGGAAGGGCTTTGGGGCTAAGGGACTTGTGAGAATAAGGCACTTGAGGTGGGGGTGAAGGGCCAGCTGGGGCGTGTCTCAGCTAAGCTGGTCCTCGTACTGCTTGCGGAAACAATCACCAGCTGGGAAGAAATCCCAACATCTCTCCTGGTACATCTTCCAGACATAAGACTCCTAGGGTTGGGGCACGGGGAAGAACTGGTTGGCCGCATCTCAAACGTTCATGCTGACGTGAGCTATTTCCTGCCGCCTGCTGCCCGACCTCATATGAGAGCTCTCCATGTCCCTCCCACTGCCCTCCCATTAACAATCCCTTACCTGGCCCGTGTGTTCTGTCTCGTCTTTATTTATCAGATACATCAGGAAAAACCTGAGGGTGGGAGGACGGCGGACATAGGTTAGGACTACCCTCACTTTCTCCTGATTGGCTGGCTGGGAAGCCACCCGCCTGGATACCACACTGGTCGATGCCCAGTACCGGGCCCTCGCGGTCGGCGGCCACGCCTCCCCCGCTCCCCCTCCCCCCGCCCACGACGGGCCCACGGGCCCAGGCTCACATGTAATTGGCCAGGTTGTGCTCCTCTAGCGTATGGGTCTCGAACCCGTGCGGCGTCGTATCAAAGTAATCGCTGCCGATGCCGCAGATGAAGCACTTGGTCTATGGGTGGCGGGGGACATTAGAATCCGGGCCCATTCAACCCCCCCAGGGTCCCACATTCCCTCTGGGTCGCCCCCAGACTCGACCTACCTCCATATCTTCCTTCACTTGCTCTTGTTGGTCTCGGAGCTCGCCAAAAGCGTCGATGATCAGACCTGCGGCAGCAGGTGCGAGTCAGTGCCAGACCTCTGAGCCCACTCAGACTCTTCCCTCTTCTGGCTACCCACCCCTGAGCCCAGCCTCCCGCCCCCCATCTCCCTCATCTCACCCTGCTTCCTAGAGATAATAACACCTAGCGTTTATCGAGTACTTTTTATGAGCAAAACACCTAGGAATTGATTTAATTCTCACAATAACCCTGCGAGGTTAGGATAGTTAATATCCTCATTTGCAGATGGAGAAACTGAGGCCCAGAGAGGCGACTTGCCTAAAGTCTCACAGCAGGAAGAGGCAGACCCAGGATATGAAGCCAGGCTGACTACACTCTTAAAGGAGCCAGTCTGCCTCTGGGCACTGGGCCCCCACTCTCACAACCCCAACCAGCACTGACCCTGGATGATGGCCAGCAGGATGACGATGACAAAGAAGAAGAAGGTGATGTCGAAGACCACTCGGTACAGCTCATATTCATCGCCTGCTGGGTCCTCAATCTCATCCCCGATGCCCCCACCAGCTCGGACACCCACGTACATGTGAAACAGGTAACACTGTGGGGGGGGGGGTGACAAGCATATTGGTTATGCATTCTATCATTCGACATTCTCCAAGGACCTCCTGGGCCCTGGGCCGAGGGGACACGCAGACACAGCAATAACTGAGCCAGCTCTGGGCCCTGCCCTCACAGGGCTCACAAACGGGGCATCACATAGTGACAGCCCAGAAATGATCATGGCTGTGATAGGGAGGACACAGGCAGAAGGGGCAGATCCGGGGTGGGGGAAGCGCAGGGTGATCAGGGGAGAAACGGGGGGAGCACAGGAAGCTTTGAAGCTTTGAAAGCCTGACTCAGTCAGGGTGATCAGGCAAGACTTGCCTAGGAGAGGGGACATGTGAGAGCTGGAACTTGAAGGAGGTGTTAAGTGGGAGAAAGTGTTCCAGGCAGAGAAAACCACATGTGTTACGTAACCACTGGGGAGCAAAGAACACATTTTGCTCCCAGGAGGAACTGAAAGAGGTTCAGCGAGGCTAGAAAATAGAGCTCCAGTAAGCAAGAGCAGGGAGAGAAATGAGGCCAGCCGATGGTTAGAGAGGGCTTCCTGTAGGAGGCAGCATTTAAGTTGAAAGGTGACGTGTCAAGTGAGAGAGGGGCGTGGACATGGGACCTGTGGTAGAAGAGGGAGAGAATGTCAGATGCAGAGGGCTTGGGCGGGAGGAAACACATGGTCTTAGGGGAACCGAAAGAGGACAGGAAGCCAGGGAGCAAAAAGCAAGAGAGACTGTGGTTAGACTCGGGTAAAGCTGGCTTTTCCCTGGCATTGTGAGCTGCGGTGAGGGATTCGATTTTATCACACAGCATTGGAGCGCTACAAGAAGGTTCTGAGCAGGGAGGAGGCCACAGTCTGCCTGGCACTTGGGAAAGACTTTCCACTTGTTTTCTGTGTCCCCAGGAAGTGAGAGAAACCCTGTGTCTTGGTTAAGAGCTGAGGCTGGTGACTGCGGTGGGAACAGGGCTATGCGTGGCAAGACTAGGTCTCGTGGCCTCAAATGTCAGGCTGAGGGGCTGGACTGGGTCCTGAGAGCGTGGCACAGAGTACAGGACATCTCGTGTGACAGCCCCGAGATCATTCTTCTCCACTGTGGCCCGCGCCTCTGTAGGGCAGCTCAGTCTGCGTCATGACCACCATTATCAGAATAAAAAAGAATGTATAAACAAGCACGGCATGCTGATACTTGGGTGAAATTTATATATATATATATATATATATATATATATATATATATATATATATATATAATATAATATATATATATGTGTGTGTGTGTATATATATATATATATATTTTTTTTTTTTTTTTTTTTAAGTAAACTCTACACCCAACCTGGGGCTCGAACTTACAACCCTGAGATCAAGAATCGCATACTCACTCCACCTACTGAGCCGGCCAGGCGCCCCTGGGTGAAACTTTCATAGAACACGATGAGAGTGGCTAACACCTATGGAATCCTTAACACACGCCAGGCCCCATTCTACGACTTCCGAGGGAGCTCCACTGAGTCCTAAAATCAGCCCTAGGCCGTAGGCACTGTTATCACATACCCATTCTCCTGGGGAGGACACCAGAGCACGCGGAGACTGAGTAGACTACCCCAAATCTCATGGGCACGACAGGGGCACGACGCCTGAGCACCCCAATAATAACAGCTCTCGAATAACATGACGGCGGCGGCGAGCGCTTACCAAGCACCGATTATGTGACCGGCACTCCTCAAAGGCCCTCGCAAGTACCCGCTCACGGAACCCTCCCAGGGAGCTGACGAGGTGGGTACTACTACCCCCTTTACAGAGGGTCGGATGGTCAGTAACAGGCCCCTGGGAGCGCCGGGGGAGGGGCTCACCGTCATCATGTCATCGCACTTCATGTCAGGCTCGTCCTCATCCTCACTCTTGTTGTAGAACTTGCGGAAGAAGTTGAAGGCCACCACGGTGTACAGGTAGACCACCACCGCCAGGAGGCCCACGGTCATCACCAGCTGGGGGCACGCGGGGGGCCCCGTCAGCTCCATGCTCAGCCTGCCCCTCCCCAAGCCCAGCTTCCTGGGTCCTCACCCCCCGCCCCCAGCCAACGTGGCCCTCCCTCCCGGGTCTCACTACCCACACCCACCCTGGCTCAGCCCACCCTGCCTTGCCCCTCCTCGCAGGAGCTGCCCGACCCCCCCCATCCACCCCTACTCAGACTACCAGCTCATCCCCGCCAGGCTCACACCCCTCAGTCAGGTCCTCTACACACCTGCTTCCCATTATGGGTGACAGAGGAGAGGATAGTGCGCAGCGTCTTGACCCCCATGGCGATGTCCAGGAGGTGGGCAGCGAAGAAGAAGTTGTTGTAGTGTCCCAGGAGGGACATCACCATGTACCAGCCCAGGTATAGGAAAGACTGTGGGCACACAGGGTCAGGGGTCAGGGAGCGTGTGGGATTCATGGGGAGCACTCTGGGGGTCAGGGAGCGCTCACGAAGGTCAAGGGGCATTTGAGGGGTAGGGAGCACTGTGGGAACAGGGGGTCCAGGAACATTTGAGAGGGATGGGAGTGCCCTGGGGGTCAGGGTGCCATCTCTGCCTAGGGAGCATGTGGAGGATCGGGAGCACTCGGCAGTAACGGAGCATGCTGGGTGAGAAGCCATCCCCAGGGGAAGTTGGAGAACCCTCTGCGGAAGGACCTAGTCTGAGAATTCAAGAGCACCCGAGGGACAAGGGGCCTTGGGGGGCAGGGAGCTTCACAGGACCAGGCGTGCACAGGGGCTCAGGAGTCAGGCCCTGGTCAGGGATACCTGGGGTCAAGGATACCCCAGCCCTCCAAAGGCCCTTCTCCCGCAGTTCCTCCCCCAACTATGGGCCCCTCCTCACATTGTCTGTGAAGATGACCCCGAACTTCCAGATCTGGTACTTGACGTCAATGGACATGAGCCTGTATGGGGTGGGAGGAAGAGGGATGGCCAGATGCCTGACGCTCAGACCCTGGCCACCTCCCCTGGCCACCCCAGGCCTGTGCAGGCTGGTCCCCGACTCACCAGGTGAGTAGCCCCGGTGGTGGTTCGGGCTTTCGCTCGTTGTGGGCTGTGATCTCCAGCGTGGCCAGATCCATGCCCAGCAGCTCGGCGATCCGCTCCCGCCCATAGATGTCCCCGTGCTTGTCCAGGACCTGCGCAGGGGAGCGTGTGATCGTGGGGACACGGCTGGAGTGGGGGAGGGCCACAGGCTGCATGGGGGGCGGCTGGGGCACTGTAAACTTCGCGTGAGAAATTGGGGGTGCATTTTTCAGGAGAGAAGGGCCAGAGCTTTCTTCAGATCCTCAGGGGGAGGGCCCAAAAGGTTCAGTTGATTCATTAGCCAAATTCATAAGGTTAATTAATTTATTATTATCAGACTGGTAGTCAAGGAACCCTATATAATTGGGCCTCTGTCATCTGTGAACTTACCTTCTCCCACTCACCCACCTCCTTCACTCTGCTCCAGCCGCACAGACACACAGACCTGCTCGCAGTTCCTCAAATATACCAGACACATTCCTGCCTCAAGGCCTTTGCCTCGGCTCTTCCTCCCGCCTAGGACACTCCCTCCAGATTCTACCCGATTCACCCCTTCACTTCATTAACTAGTGTGTCCTTTCCTGCCTACTCTTGGTCAACACACACACACACACACACATTCCCCTCTTCACTTTTTTTCTTGTACAACACTTATCACCACCTAAACCCTATAAATGTGCTCGCCATCTGTCTTGCCAGCTCGAGTGTTGGGCTTCCTGCTGGATTCCGGCTCCCTAAAGCACACAGCAGGTGTTCAATAAATGTTTGTTGAGCGAATGACTGATCTAGTTTTCCTGGGTGCCAGATACCGCTCATGCAGTAGGCCATATAATCTTTACAACAACCCCGTGGGGTCAGCCCTCTTATGCTCTCACTTCGAATCTGAGGGAAACTGAGGCACAGAAAGGCCGACACAGCTAGGAGTAGAAAAGCAGGCAATCCAGCCCCAGAGTCTGTGTGCTTAAAACAGTATGTGTCACCTCCTCCCTCTTAACTAATACTTAATGGGTCCTCATTCTGAGCCTGGCACTACGCCACACTCGTTACGTGTATCGCGTCAACACAGAGGGACGGGTGATTATTGCGCCCATTTCCAGATGGGCAAACTGAGGTGCTCCTCAGGCAGCCAAAGCCCCTTGCCTAAGGTCGCACATAAAGCGACTGCTTGTCAGGGCTGGGATGGCCAGGTGGCAGCAGGAGACCCAGCCCGGGAGGCCCTGCCGCCTCCCCATCCACGTCCTCACCTTCCGCTTGACAAACTTGTCCCAGTAGTTGCTGGGGAAAGACCTGCCGAGAGAGGGAGAGAGAGAGAGAGAGACCCCGAGGTGTTAGGGCAGGAAGGGCCAGGAGCCACCAGCCGGGCCAGGGTGGGCGGGAGTTCCGATGCTTTTCGCACAGGGGGCCCCCGCACAGTAGGACTGCATCTCACCGGGAGCCGGGCTCTAAAGACCCCCTGCCAGATGGAGTTCGCCCCAGGTCAAGCGCTACCCCAGCACCATCTTTGGTGGGGCCCGCGGGAGGCAGCGGGCTTGCATGCGGGGCTGGGATGTGCAGAAGACACAAAATGGCCCTCCGTGCCGTGTAAGCTCATGGGGTGATTCTGGCCCATTAGTTACCGGTTTTCTGATTCACAAGCTGATGCCCTACAATCCTGCCAAGGCGGTGAGTTCTGTTGGGTTTGGCGGGGAGAGTTATCATGAATCCACGGGCTCAGACCTGTTTGATGTGTTTCAATTTGTGGTACTTGCTCTCCTTACTGAGGCTCAAGTTGCCCCCGATTTGTCCAGCGGGAGCCCCTTCCAGGATCCCCTTCTGGATGCTGCTTCCCACTGAGCACATCCTTGCTTCCTGACACAAGGTAACCCTGGCTTGCTGCACTTCCCTGCCCCAGCCCCGAAATCTGCCGCTTCTCCAAGGAGCGTGGTTCCTTTTTGTAGGACATGGTATTTAGAAGTTAAGGTCTTGGGCAGACACAACTTTATTTATTTTTTTAAGATTTTATGTATTTATTTGACAGAGAGCAAGAGAGCAAAGCAGGCAGGGGGAGTGGCAGAGGGAAGGAGAAGCAGGCTTCCCGCGTAGCAGGGAGCCTGACTCCCAAGTCACCAAGCCTGACCCGATTCCAGGACCTTGGGATCATGACCTGAGCCAAAGGCAGACGCTTAATGACTGAGCCACCCAGGCACCCCTAGACACAACTTTAAACAGATGTTTCCGGGGCACCTCGGTGGCTCAGTTGGTGAAGTGTCCAATTCTTGGTTTCAGTTCAGGTCATGATCTCGGGTTCCTGGGATCAAGCCCTGCATCAGGCTCTGCACTGTGTGTGGAGTCTGCTTGTCCCTCTCCCTCCTCCTCTGCCCTTCCCCACCTCTCAAATAAATAAATAAATAAAATCTTAAAAAAAGAATAAACAGATGTTTCTCCCTGACTCTCTCTGTTAAGCACGTGTGTTTGAATGTGTAGCAGTTAGATGTGCCTTTGATGGTGACAATGAAAGCATAGGATGTCCTTGGTGTGGTTTCTCTCCCTTCCTGTCACCACCTCTCCTGGGCAGGACCCCATAATAAAATAACTTCCAGCACTTATCTAGGACTCACTGTGCCCCAGAAACTACATGAACTCATTTTTTCAGTACAAGATCCTCAGTGCTATTATTTACCCTCCTTTTTACAGATTAGGAAACAGGCACAGAGAGGCTAAGTGCCCAGACCGAGAATTCCCAGCTAGGGTGTGGCCAAGCCAGGCTTTGAACCTGATCTGGTGTTCTTATTCTAGAGATGTGGCCCCACTGTATGAACATGTGAAATGGGACTTGACGGCAGGGGTGGGGGTGTTGGGGACAGAGTGGGCTGGGAGTGCAATTTGGGGGTCCAGAGTCCCACCACATTGCTCTCCCACACCCTCGTTCCCTCTCTGGGGTCAATTTAAAAACCCAATGATTTCCTATTGCCTATTCATGGCAGCTGGGTAAGAATCACATATGGGGGCAGGGTTTAAATGCAGATTCCTGGGCCCCACCCCAGACTCACTGAGGCAGAATCTCCAGGGTCTGGGCCCCAGGGATCTCCATGTGTCACCAGCAGCCTCACAGGTATGTTAACACTTGGGGAAATTTGTCCGTATTACGGACAGGAAGACTGAGGCTTGGAGAAACTGAGTCAGGGCTGGCAGTGACTGGAACCTGGGTCTTCTGAAGCCCAGGCCCGGCCTGGAGTGGAACCCCAGCTCTGTGCCCCCCTACCCGCACCGAGGTGGGGGGGGCCTGGCCTTACGGCGTGTTGAGCACCAGCCGGTCCCACTGGCCCTTCACATCATCATCCTCAGGCTGCTCCGTGATGTAGAGACCGTCAAACTCCAGCTTTCGGGCCAGCTCCTTCTCCCGTTTAAAGATCACCAGGGGCACCTGGATCGTGCAGGGAGGCACAGGGGTGGGCGTCAGGCACCGGCGGAAGCCGGGAGATCTTGCTGGCACCGGGGTGAGACCCCACATCCGGGAGCTTCCCCAGAGCAATCAGGGCAGATGGGCCAGGGCTGGGATGGGAGTGAGTCAGGAGAGCCCAGAAGTGGTGCCTGACGCAGCCTTGGGGCTTCCCCAGGGAGGGGGGATACATAAAACAGAGGCAGGCGAGGGGCGCCTGGGTGGCTCAGTCGTTAAGCGTCTGCCTTCAGCTCAGGTCATGATCCCGGGGTCCTGGGATCGAGCCCCGCATCGGGCTCCCTGCTCTGCGGGAAGCCTGCTTCTCCCTCTCCCACTCCCCCTGCTTGTGTTCCCTCTCTCACTGTGTCTCTGTCTGTCAAATAAATAAATAAAATCTTTAAAAAAAAAAAACAGAGGCAGGCGAAAGGAGCTGGAAGTGAGGCAAAGCAGTCCAGGCAGAGGGAACAGCATATGCCAAAGCTCTGAGCCAAAAGAACTCTATCCCTCCAATAGTAAAGTATCAAGATTTGCTCAAACAGACCCCTTGGAACCCAAATTGAAGCTCTCATAACACGCCTTCTGGGGCATCACAAACCTCAGGGATCAGAATCCACACTCCCCTGTTAGCACCCATGTTATGTCCGAGACCCCAGAGACTCCCCACACGCCTTCATTCACCAACTGATCAGTATATAGAAAATAATATTCGCAGTGACAAAGTTTGCCTCTTGGGCCAGAAATTAACATGATCCTAGGCCCTGGCTCCTCAGCTGTGACCCACATGAGTTCCCAATTTGAATACTGTCCTTGCTGAAGACCCCAATCCTGTACCCAGGCCCCCAGCCCTTACTCCAGTTCTAGGCCCCCTCTGTCCCAACCGCCATGGGAGATCCCTGGCCCCTGCCCTAGACCCTCGCAGCCGGTGGCCCAGCACCTCTCCCTGACCAACAAGCCCCTGCCCCAGAACCACGGTCACGACCCACCTTGAGGCAGTTGTAGCCAATGATGCAGAGGAAGGCCACCAGCGTATGGAGCAGGCTCAAGCAACGCAAGGCCGGCTCCATGTAGCCCGTACTCTCCTCCAGGAAGTAGTACACCATGTTCTCATCCTCATCGCCCTCCGCTTCCTCGCCGGCCCCCGAGCCCCAGCCAGAGCCGCCACCAGACCCTGCACCTGACAGGTCCCCAGCCGCCGAGCCCTCCATGTCGTCCTCCCCTGGTGGAGAGTCTGAGACCTGAAATGGCGGCAGAGGTCGGTCAGGGCCTGCCACACCCAGAACCCACCAACACAATTAACGGCCTCCATTCCTGAGGCTGGTTGGGGGGACAGTCAGATACAACTTCGGTGAGACTGTCAATCAGGATGAGGGGTGGGCCCGGAACCCTGGCTAGCAAACCAGACTCTGTCCTGGGGATCTGACTATTGGACTGACAGGACGACGGAAACCGTGAGAGCGGATTCTCTTTAACAGCGGAGCCTTGAAGAGACTGACCAACAATATTAACACGAATACTAAAATTCGGCATAGCTAATGTTTACACAGCACTTTCTATATGCCAAGTGCTGTTCTAAGTGCTTTACACACGCTAATCCTCTTGTCATCCCCACAGCTCTCAGAGCTAGATACTGTCAGCGTCCCATTTTACAGATGAGGAAACTGAGGAGCAGTGAGATTAAGCCCCTTGCCTACCATCATACAGCCAGTGGGTGGTGGAGCTGGGATGTGATCTCACAGAAGCCAGCTAGACCGCTTCTCTATCCTGTTATCAAGATCCCTGGGCAAGACCCCAAGGGCCCATTGGTCTCTCAGGAGGCCTGGTTCTTAGGCCCTTCCTTCCATTCCATGAGCTGCTCATTTCCTCCTCCCCACAGATTTCTCTTTAGCTTAGGCGAAAGCAAAGAAGCTTCACTGAATCAGTGCATGTTGCAGAGAGGCCAAATCCCACACCCAGGGGCATGGGGCTGGCGAGTGGCAGAGCTGAGCGTGGAAGCCAGAACTGGTTCCCTGCTCTAACTCCTGCAGATGGTCAGGCATCTGTCCCAATGCACCCCGATACCCACACATGCTCCCATGGGGGTCCCAAGATCCAGGTGTCCAGCCCGAACCTCCCCGGCACCCCTGATCCAACACCTTGTCCCTTCACTGTGGGGGCCCTGGGAACCTGGTAGGGGCTGAGCTGCCCCGTCCCCCAGCCCAGATAAGCGCCTGGTCCTCCAGGCCCCTCATGACCAGCACCTTATAAAACAGCAAGATGAAGTTGATGGCAAAGGCCAAGAAGAGGGCAAGGAATCGCAGGGTATAGAAGTTCCGGGAGAGGTAGTTCTAAGATGAGGAGAGAAAGAGAAAGAGCTCACAGTCCACCTTCTTGCCTGGAGAATTCGCCCCATCATCCACCTACCAATCCAAAACCTGGTCCCACAACCTAGTTATCGAGTGCTTACTGTATACCAGGACATGTGCTAAGAGCTTTATACACACGAATGTGTATGGCTCTCACCACACCCCCACGAAGCGGGCACGGCAGATCTGCCTATTTTGCAGATGAGAACACCGGGGCTTGGGGAGGTGACATGTCTTGCTCAAGGTCACACAGCCAAGAAGTGGCAGACCTGAGGTTTGAGGCCAGACACTTAACCTCCAGAGTCCACACTCCCAACCGCTCTAGTATGTGCTTCCCGTGTGAGGCTGCCCCGTCTGCTTTAGCCCAGAGGACACTTACTTCCATCTCTCCCTCCCTCATTTTCTCTCCATTGTTCTCCCTGTCCCTCATTCTTCCCATGCATCCTCGCTGGACCACCTTCTCCCCAACAGGTTTCCTTCAGCCCCTCACGTCAGGCTGGGACTGGAGAGGAGGCAGGACAGGCGGACCCCCGAGCCCTGCCCTCCCACACTGCCCCCCTTCTTCCTGGCTTGGATGAGTTCTCCTCCCAGCCTCGGACGGGAGGGGCTGGGACCGGAGCGGTGACTCTGACCCAAAGGCCATGGTGGGAGGAAGGGCAGCATGGCCTCGGTTGGATTTAGCTCTGGATAGCACATGGGGGTGGGAAGCCGAGGCAGGTGGCCCCAGATGAGCAAAGGTATGGAGGTTGGAGTAAGAATCTTGAGCAGGGAGAGGCCAAGGAGCCAAGCGGGGGACCACCTAAGATGCTTCCCTGTGACCAGGTCCTGACTCCGTCTGGGGACATCTGTGCCCTCAGGCCAGCCTGGCCTCTTCTGAGAGATAAGCCTGGCACAGGTGAGCTCAAGAACGGGGTGCGGAAGAGAGGTGGTGTGAAAGCACCGAGGGGCCTCCCTGGGAGAGGAGGTGTCAGCAAGCCCCCTTGCGGGGTCCTCACCAAGAACTTCACCCTCTGCACTTCCAGTTCTCCCCAGAATTCCAAGCCCCCGCCTCCAGCCTCCTCCTTCTTTGGAGGGGGTGGAGGAGGTGCCATCTTCTTGGGGGGCTCTGGTGGGGGTTCGGGGACTTCTTCCTTCTCCCCATTCTCAGCACTGCAGGGCAGGACACAGAAAGAGTGAAGAGGTGCCCAGGTAATCCATTCATTCATTCAAAGCCATGCACTGGGGGCCCACCCCATGCTTGGCCCAGGTCTGGATGGTGTTGGGGACACATTGATGAGTCACTGCCTTCATGGGGCTCTGTCCAGTGGTGGTACAGACTGGTCACCAGGCAGTGGCAGCCCGGAGTGGTCAGGGCGGGGATGGGGGATGCTCAGGGGGTTGTGGGAGCTCCAGGAACACCTCTTCCACTTAGTGGTGGGGGGTGTGTCAAGGTAAGCTTCCTGGAGGAGACACGTGAGCCCAAATGGGAAGGAGGAAGACTGAGATGAACATGGGAGAAAGTGCTCTGAGCGGAGGGAACAGCCCACAGGAAGGCTTGGGGTAAGAGAGGAGCACTCATTTCCCCACTCCCTTTGACAGAGCCCCTCCTCTGGGCCCCAGTCTGGTCTGGATGAAGCTGAGGACACAGCGTGAACTCAGGAGGCTCCCAGTCCAGGAGGGAGGCAATGATAGGGGCCAGGCCCCTTGGATTCCAAGGCCACTCACTCGGCTTTCTCGGGCTCAGGCTCAGGCTCTGGCTCGGGTTCTGGTTCTGGAGGCAGCTCCTCTTCCTCTCCATCCACCTGGAAGCAGGGCAAGCCTCAGGGAGGAGCCGCCACCCCAGCACCTCTCAGAGCGCCTCTGCCTGTTCCTCTTTGTGTCCCTGGGCAACCTACATTTTCCTCTCCTCCCATCAGAAGAGGGATTTTGAGTCTTGCTTTACAGAGGGGAAACTGAGGCTCGGGGAAGTGGAGCGCCTTGCCAAAGCGCTGTGCGGAGTCAGGCTGCCTCCAAGTGGAGCTCTTCTTCCCCAGGGCTTCCCATGGCCTTGACACCCGGGGCCCTCAGAGCACGGAGGGCCTGAGGCTGGGGGCTACCTGACTCCTCACAACCACCTGTGTATCTCTGAGGGGCTCTCCCAGCGGCCCTGACCCTACCCCGGGCTGTTCTAGTTCCCGGTGCCCTTTCCCCTCTCATTAGGTTTCGAAGTCTCTCGTCTCTCTGGCTGCAGATATCTTGATGTCTCCCAGAAATACTACCTGTTTCAGGGTCTCCATCTCTGAGTCCACTTCTCCGTGGGTCTCTCTATCCCTGGTCTGTGTCTCTCTGGTTCGTCTCTGCGGGCCTATCTCTCAGGCTCTCTCCCCTCTCTCTCCGTCTCTGAGAGTCTCCCGCCCCGTCCGGTCCTCCCTCTTAAGCCCAATGTCTCCCAAACCCCGGAACCGCCCCCCCAAGCCCCCCGCCCGCCGCCCCGCGGGCCCTCTCACCCCGAGCTTCCTCTTGATGATGGGGGAGCCCTCGGGCGTGGGCGGCTCCGCGGGCGTCGTGTCACCCATGTCCCCGAGGCCGCCCGCCCCTTCGGGCCGGAAGGGGCCCCCGTCGGCCACGGCCACGGCCCCGTCGGCGCCTCCCGGGCCCGCGTCGTGCGCCGCCGCCTCCTCGTCGCCCGCGCCCTCCGCCTCGCCGCCCGCGCCCTCGCCCGCGCCCTCGCCGTCCGCGTCGCCGCCGGGCCCGGTCGGCTGCTCGCCGTGCACCTCGTCGCCCGTGGGGTCGGGCATGCCGGCCAGGAGCTCGGTCACCGTCACCTTCTTGGCGCCCTCCACGAGGCCGCCGCCGAAGAGCGAGCCCCAGAGCAGGCGCAGCGCGCCCGCCGCCGCGCCCGCGCCCGCGCCCGCCGCGCGCGCCACCGCGGCCCAGAGCAGCGCCGCCACCGCCGCGGCCGCCTCGCGCGCCGTGAGCCGCCGCAGCCGCCGCGCGCGCCGCCGCAGGCTGCGGTAGCTGAGGCCGCGCAGCGCCCGGGCCGCCGCCGCCCGCGCGCGCGCCGTCACGCCCGCCGCCGCCGGCGCCGCCGCGCCCTCGGGCCCCGCCGCGCCCTCCTCCGCGCCCTCGGCGCCCGCCTCGGCCGCGCCGTCGTCCTCGTCCGCCTGCGGCTCGCCCTCGGGCTCGGAGATCCGCGCGGCGATCTGCATCTCGAAGATGGTGTCCTCGCAGAAGCTCACGAAGAGCTCCATCTTCTCGGACTCGCCGCCCTCGTTCACCACGTCGAAGATGAACTGGCGCTTGGACTCCTTGACCTGCGCGCGGGGCGGGGGCGCCACGGGGTGAGCGCGCGGGCCGCCGAGCCCCCGCCCCGCGCGCGTGACAGCGGGCGTCTCACTGAATCCCCCCCAGCGATCCTAGACGAGGGGCTCGGCTGCCCATTTCGCAGCTGGGGACACGGAGGGCCTAGCAAGTCACGTCCTCGGGGTGCCGCCGCCGAGAGGTGGCAGCTGGCGGATTGGAGTCCCCGCAACCCGCAGGCTGACTCCGGAATCGAGGCCATTCGCTCCTTCGAGAGATGGAGCGTAGTGGTGGAGGGCAAAGGTTCCGCAGCCGGGCAGCCTGTCTGGGTTCCAACCCCGATTGTGCCACTGAGTAGCTGGGTGATTTAGACGTACCTCTCTGGGCCTCGGTTTCCCCCCTCTGAATTGGGGGATAATAATAGGACCTCAGTTATTGCTGTGAGGATTCGGTGAGTTGAGAGATACTGAGAGATCAGAACAGTGCCCGGTGCCTAATAAATGCCACATAGTGCTCGCTGTTATCATATGGCTGCAGAGTGCTGGAGGTCCACGCTGCATACATGGCCTCCGGCAGAAGGAGAAAGTGGGAATGGGAGGGGGTGAGCAGGCAGAACTGGGGGTTCGGAGGAATTAAGAGAAAGAGTGTGCATGTGGGGAGCACGTGAGAGGCGGGGGTTGGGGGGCTGGAGCTCCCACAGCTCGTACAAGGGTGTGAAGGGCCAGCGGTGAGCCGGGGCTTCCTGCAGGTGAAGGGAAGTGGCAGACATCCTGCGTGCAAGGATGGTGCAACCCCTTTTATGCCAGATTGGTGATGGTGGAGAGTATGCGATCGGGCCCCAAGGGACACAGGTCAATGTGCAAAATCTTGAGGGGTCCTGTGGAGTATGTGAGGGGGCCGACGTGCAAGAGCCTTGTGAGTGGGCACCAGGGACTAAGGGAGGAATCGGGTGGCGATATAGGAGGATGTGGGAAGGATGCCACCGTGTGGGGCTCAAGTGTCCATGGTGGCCATGGGCACATAGGGCAGCCATGCAAGGGCTTGGGGCCCAAACCGGAGGGGAGTGTTAGTGCTGGAGGGGCCTACAATTCATAGCATCAGTGCACGTGAGGCAGGCATGAATGTGCAAGGGGGACCTGGGAGTCAGTGCAGTAAGGCCCAGAATATGAGGACAGGGTTCAGTGTGGGACATGAGCCCAGGTGTGCTTGAGCCAGGTGTCACTGAGGAGACATGAGGGGTCCAGTTGTCGAGGGGGTGATGGGAGTGCAAGCCTCATGGGCTACAAGTGTGAGATGGGAAAGGGTGAGTAAGACCATGTGGGAGGAATATGCAGGTAAGGAACAAATGGGAAGTATAAGTGGAAGGGAAGTGCAAGAGAATAGGGAATGGGAGCTCCCTGCAAGCTAAGTGTGAGGTGGGCTGCGGGCGTGCCAGAGCCACATGAGTGTACCCTTGGGGCTATGGGGCTATACATTTTAAGGGCATATGAGAAGCTGAGACAGGCCACAATCAGGCTGAGGATAGGCCTGGTACCAAGAACACTCGGGGGCTCTTGGGGGTGCGTTGGAGGGTGATCCAAGTGTGCACGGGTGATCATGGGCATGCCAGACAGGGCATGCAGGGGGTGAATAAGTGAGGGGTGGACAACCATATAGTGTGCCAGGACTGGATCCTCGGGGTGAGTGTACAAGAGGTGTGCACCCACACGTGGACCCCGAAGAAGTGGACATCGTGTGCTGGGACCTCAGAGAGCAATTGGGGGCACGTGTGGTGACCGGCTAGGGGCAGGGCAGCATAACTAGGCACCCCAGAGCCTCCAAGGTGAGTGTGCAAAAGAGACGGCATGAGTAGGCCAGGGCCCAGAGAGGGCACACCAGGGGCTACTGGGAAGATGAGCAAGGGGTGTATAACCAACGTGTTCCATTACGCGACGGCATGGGTGTGAAGAGAACTACAAGGACGCACTAGAGCTCCCAGCGTGAGGGTGCAAGTGGCAGGCATGGTGTTCAAGCAGCCAGTGGGGACAGCACACGCTGCTGTATGTGCGCGGGGTGTCCATCCATCCCCGGGCTAAATCTGCAGGAGGCGGGCAGGGGAGACCCGGGGACGTGCAAGGGCACCGCAGGGCCCATAGCGTGGGTACAGAAGGGTGGGCATGGGCTTGCGTGGGCAGAGCAAGAGCCCCCCAGGGCCTGCAGAGCGGCCGTACAAAGCGGGTACCTGCCCCCGTGGGGTCCAAGCGTGCAAGGAGCATGCGCTGGAGCCGCGGGAGGCGAGCATGCACGTGCGCAGGCCGGCCAACCTGGGGCATCTCCCACTGGGTGCGGTTGGTCTCCGAGATCTCGAAGTAGATGCGCTCGATGCGGCGCGAGGCGCCCATGATCTCGATGCGGCCCAGGTAGGGCCGGAAGTACTCGAGGATGCTCTCCGCCAGCTCGAGGAAGTTGCGCAGGCGCGGGTCGTGGGGCACGTGCTCCGACAGGTTGGTCAGCAGCACCGCCACGTTGAAGCCGATGTCGCGGGCTGGCTCCTGGAAGCGGTTGGCGAACTCCTCACAGTTGATCATCTCGTTCTCGTCCGCTTCGGAGCAGGAAAGCAGGAACTGGATTTCGGGGCCCGTGAACTGCTTCTGGCTGTCCATAGCCTGGGGGGGGGGGGGTGGCAGGGGTGAGTGGCAGAGGTCAGAGAGGTCATAGCTTGGGGGTGGGCAGGGGTGAGCTGGCCCGGGGAGCCGTGGTGCTCTTCTTTTTTTTTTTTTTTTTTTAAAGATTTTATTTATTTATTTGAGAGAGAGAATGAGATAGAGAGCATGAGAGGGGGGAGGGTCAGAGGGAGAAGCAGACTCCCCGCCGAGCAGGGAGCCCGATGCGGGACTCGATCCCGGGACTCCAGGATCATGACCTGAGCCGAAGGCAGTCGCTTAACCAACTGAGCCACCCAGGCGCCCCAGTTGTGCTCTTCTTAAAAACAGTTATGGACTTTTCGTAAAGACAGAAAACTCCAGAATCAAAACCAGCACCCAAGGCTGAAACCCAGGCAGGTTGGCACAGATAGGGCTGTACCAGCTATCAAAATACCAGAATGCTGCATTTCCACAAAGCCGAGCCACCATCCACTGTAAGATACATCCCTTTTCCAGAGATGGTTATGATGGCATTGATGAAACTCAGCACTTGTGTAGAATGGTAAAGAAATGCTGCCCCAGGCTCTCCATGTGCTCTGCACACCTGCGGTCTACCCTCCCTGCCTGATGGCTCCTATGGTCTGTCCCAGAGGTTCTCTGGGTCCCTGTGGCTGCAGGCAGCGTCTGTCTAGTTGGAGTCAGGGAACTGGAAGAGAATGGAGCGGAGGCATTGCTCTCCCTGACTTCCTCCCTGAGCTGGTCATGTCTCTCCCTCAAAAGTCAGTCCTACAGCCCTGCCCACACAGCTCCTTCTATCTCCAAGTTAGGTAACTACCCTCTCCTCCAGGATAGCCCCTCCATGCTAGGGCCCCTGACTGATACATGTCTCCTCCTACCCCAAAGCTCCCCCAAGGCTCGTTTGGGCTGCCCCCACCCCTTTCCAGCAAGTACATCATTGACACTTGACACGGTGGAGGGCTCTGAATTTCAACTGGAAACAAACAAGTCTTATGCCCATCACCCCCGAATTAAATGCTCATTCGGACATATTTTTCAAATACTATATATTTAAGAACTAAAACATTACAGGTATGATTGGAGTCTTCTGTGCATTCTTGTCCCACACCACCCCCCATGCCACCCCCAACTTCTCCCAAAGTAACCACTGTCCTGGAGATGATCTATCCTTCTAAACATGTCTCAATACTTCTACTACCTATATCCTGGCATTTTCTCATGCAAATACATAGTATCCTGCACATTTTTTTTTATTTAAAGAATTGCTATTATAATCATATACTTTGAAACTTGCTTTTTCTACTCAACTATGTTTTCAAGATCTATCCATGTTGATATATGGATCAAACGAATTCATTTTTACTGCTGTGTAGTATTTTTAATAAGTGCAACACCATATATCATCCTGATAATGGACATTTAGGTTGTTTCCAGTTTTTTACTTTACAGACAACACTTTCATTGAACAGTCTGGTGCTGATCTCCTGTGCACTTTTTGCAAGAAGCTCTCTAGAGCAGTTTTTCAAATGTTTTGACTGCACTCACATTCAGAATGCGTTTTGTAGGGTGACTCCAGAGAAAGGGGTTCATGATACAATTCTGACTTTCGCTATGCAACACTCTCTGCAGTGTTCGATTCCATTTTATTTTTAAAGATGCTGGTCATGACTTCACTAAATTAATTTCATGACCCACAGATGAATTGCAGCATGCAGTCTGAGAAATGCTGCTCTGGGATATGAACAGAAGCGAAATCTTCTGGCTCTAAAAAGTGCTTTGTAGCCAAGAACTTTGCAAAATGCTTTCTAAATGAGTAACATGCTTTGCAAATCATGAAGGGCTCTAGAAACCACAGAGTGGGGAGACATAATCACACAGGAACTCCTCACCATCTACCCTTGCTGCACCGACCTGCCTCCTCCACTTATGATGCAGTGTGTCACTGTCCCTCATAAAAGACCCCCTCTCTATGGGGAGGCCTGGGACTCCATGCCCTCCATTCAGTCTTGGACTCTGCTTTTGTGATCTGCGGCTCTCTCTTTGTCATCATCCATTTGCCCACTCTCCTTCTTTTGAAATACCTCTTTCTCTGACTGCTACGCTGGAGTCCTCCTTTATTCCAGACTTCTAAAGGTTGGGGGCACCAGGCCTGGAATCTGGCCCCCTTTCTTGGGATACACACCCTCCATGGAGATATCATTGAGGCCCAAGGCTCTGAACACTGTCCCACACCAAGGATCGCCCAATTTACATCTCAGCCTTAACTTCTCCCCAGAATCCAGACACTTAACAGCTGAAGCCCCTATCTGACATCTTTTTGTGGCTCTCTACCCTAAACTGGAAATGGTCTGAACTGAACTTTTGATTTCAAAACCTCTCCTCACTGTCTTACCCATCTCAGGAATAGCATCGCTCCCCACCCAGCTGCTTAAGCTAAAACCTTTGAGTCATCCTTGATTCCTCTTTTCTGTCTTACCACCCACAGCTGATTCATCAGCAAATCTGTCAGCTCTGCTTTCACAGATCTAGAACCCACGCACATCTGCCCCCTCAATGGTCCCACCCTGGTTTTTGTCCCGCATTCTCTCCCGCTGGACTCGCACGGCAACCTCTCCCCCGTTCTCCCTGCTCCCCCTCTATCCCCAGTCTGCTCCCCCCAACACAGCCAGGGGACCCTATAAACATCTAAGGACACACCTCTTCCTGCTCAGAATCGTCCCTTGGTTCCATCTCATTCAGGTTAAAAATTCAAGTCTTCCCTGCACCCAAGCAGGCCCTGCACGTCTGCTGCCTCCCTCCCCTCTTGCACTTTACCCCTTCCATTTTCCCCATCAACAGCCCTCTCCAGTCATGCTGGCCCCCTTGCCACCCCTCTGGTTCCCACCTTTCAGCGCTGAGACTTGCCGTCCCCTCTATCTGGAATGCCACAACCTCCCCACCTCCACATGATATGCTTCAGCTCTCAGCTTCGATGCTCTTTTCTGGAAAGGCCTCCCCCAACCACCCAGTTGACAGGGCTTATTCCACCCATGCTGTCTCACACACCACCCCGCTCACTTCTTTCAGACTACAGATTATAACCTGAAATTATTTTGTTTAGTTCTTTTCTTTCTTCTTTTTCTTTTTTTAAGAGAGGGAGGGGGAGGGGCAGAGAGAGACTCTTAAGCAGGCTCCATGCCCAGAGCTGTGGGGCTCAACCTCACAACCCCGAGATCATGACCTGAGCCGAAATCAAGAGAGTCAGCTGCTTAACTGACTGAGCCCCCCAGGTACCCCCCCTTTTTTTTTAAAGATTTTATTTATTTGACACACACAGAGAGAGAACACAAGCAGGGGAAGCAGTAGAGGGAGAGGGAGAAGCAGGCTCCCCGCTGAGCAGGGAGCCCGATGCGGGGCTCGATCCCGGGACTCCAGGATCATGACCTGAGCCGAAAGCAGCTGCTTAACCAGCTGAGCCACCCAGGCGCCCCACCAGGTACCCCTTTTTAGTTATTTTCATCTGCCCCTTCCCACTGGGCTCTCTGCTCTGAGGGTGGGGTCTCTGTTCTGCTTGCTGCCTCACACAGTAGATGCTCAGGACACATCTGTCAAGTGAATTAAGCATCTTGAAAGCAGAGAAGACTTTGTCCCTTCATTACAATTTTTGAAAATTAAAAAGTCCTTTTAAAAATCCTGACCTTGCCTTTTAAACCATAAAGAAACCAAAAAGCATGTTGTGAAATACATATTTGTAAAGAGTCTGGGAATCCTATGAAGCTTTGTGTTTAGGAAACCATACGATGCTTGATAAATGGTCCCTCAGAAATGAGAATATGAACAAAAATGGAAATATCATCATTCTGCAATCTCTAGTGCACTAATGTGCCTGGGTGTCAAACATCAGGAGCTGCTGACCTCACCAGAGGAGAGATAACAGGAAAGGATTTGCCTCCTGATGAATGTAGGCAGCCCCACAGAGGATGTGCCAACAGGACAAACAGATCCAAACCTGCATCTGATGGGCTTCTGACCTAAGTCTCAGTTTACAGGAAACACAGGGGAAGGAGGAACACACTACATGACACTATGAGGTTGCCTCAGCCCAATGGAAACTGTGGGAAACGCTACAAATGGGACACGCACTTTCCAATGAGAGCCAAGGGCCACTTGAAGCTGCTGAGCCCTTGAATCACAGCAGGTGCAAATTGAAATTTCATGCTGGATGTCAGAGCTTAGCATGAAAAAAAGAATGTAAGATGTGGAATAGTTTTTTATACTGATTACATATTGAAATGGTATTTTGGCTATATGAGGTTAAATAAAATATATTGTTGAAAATGACTTCACATGAGTCTTTTTGCTCTTTAAAAGCAGGGGTACTAGAAACATTTAAATTATGCATGTTGCTCACAGTGTATTTTTAATTTTTTTAAAAAGTAAACTCTACCCCCAACAGGGGCTCAAACTCACGACCCCGAGATTAAGAGCTGCATGTTCTACCGACTGAGCCAGCCAGGCGCCCTGCTCACATTGTATTTCGATCAGAGAGAGCTCCTCTTTAGGGCCAAACACCTGGGTCTCCAGCGGATCAACTACAAGGAAAAGGAAAAGTGCTGGAGGGGAAGCAGTAGATACAAGGCGATTTAAAGAAATAACCAGTTGCCGGGCGCCTGGGTGGCTCGTCATTAAGCATCTGCCTTCGGCTCAGGTCATAATCCCAGGGTCCTGGGATCGAGCCCCACGTGGGGCTCCCTGCTCAGCAGGAAGCCTGCTTCTCCCTCTGCCTGCTGTTCCCCTTGCTTGTGCTCTCTCTCTCTGACAAATAACTAACTAAATAAATCTTTAAAAATAAATAAAATTCGTTAAAGATTTTATTTATTTAAGCGGGGGGGAGCAGAGGGAGAGGGACAAGCAGACTCCATGCTGAGCACAGAGCCCAAAGCAGGGCTCCATTCCCAGACCCTGAGATCATGATCTGAGCCGAAATCAAGAGTCAGCTGCTTAATCAGCTGAACCACCCAGGT